GGCATTTTGTAACGACAAACATTGCTATTTAGGTAGATATAATACTAATCTATGGAATTAAACACAAATCAGGATACATGTGTGAGGTTAAAGGTGTTTTTGAGAGCCCGGGCCAAGCCGAACCGAAAGCATGTTATACTATGTGGTTGTTGAGAATGTACAGAAATTAGGGCTTCATTTTAAGCAACATGTTTGCTTCAAATACAACGCTTTGAGACTTTATAAAGACGTATTTGGATAGATATAACTCTATTCTTTAGATATAGACACAAATCAGTATACATGTGTGAGGTTTAAGCTGTTTCTGGCAGCCCGGACCAAGTCGGGCCGAACAGCGACTTAACACTTTTGATTGAGGCTATGTTGTGTTTGGGAGAGAAAGGGCTTCACTTTACCGAACCAGTTATATTTACATGTGGCATTTTGTAACATCACACATTGATATTTAGGTAGATATAATACTAATCTATGGATTTAAACACAAATCAGGAGACATGTGTGGGGTGAAAGTTGTTTTTGAAGCCCGAGCCAAGGCTGACCGAACGCTTGTGATACAGTGTCTTTGTTGAGAATATGTAGAAAAGAGAGCTTCACTTTCAGCAACGTTTTTGCTTCAAATACTACGCTTTGAGACTCTGTAAAGTGGTATGTAGGTACATATATTACTAATCTATGGATATAAACACATTTCAAGATACACGTGTGAGGTTTAGGTTGTTTTTGACAGCACGGGCCAAGTCGGGCCGAACAGAGACTAAACACTTTTGATTGCGGATTTTGTTTTCCGAGGACTTTTTTCCCCTAAATTGTTAGGAATGGAGAGAGAAAGGGGCTTCACTTTTACTTTACTTGATGAAGTGGTATTTAGGTAGATATAATACCATTTTGTGTTTCATGTGTATTAGTAAATATAAGCATATGCATACGCGCTGGCTATCTGATTTGGACTGGTATTGTTTACAATGAAAACACATAAGAATTTTTGTGTTTGTGAATGCATACTTTGTTTGATCCTTAATAACATATAACAAAATTTTGTGATTTCAAATATTTCTTTTAATATACATAATCATGTCATATTTGCCCATTGACACTCGCCGATATCCACGTCTCTTTAAAGGTCACATAAACCCTAGGGGGGTAAAAATACATCAATCACTAACTGGCATCGTTATAAATGAAACCCCGTCATTAAAACTACTCATTTCGACCTTTAATTGACTTAAATCGACCTTTTTGACAACAGTGCACAATTCTCACCCGCGAACGAAATTTCAACCAATCAGAGCGGCGCGCGTCTGTGACGTCATATGAGGAATAGCTTTGCGGGCCGATGCAGAATTCATCTACATTTTAGGGGTTAAATGATCTTGTTTACAGGCTTGTATAAACCTGAAATCGTGACAATTGTTGTGGAAAATAAAAGCTATATGTTCTCACAATCTACTGTCATTTAATTTTGTCTCCTGCTTTGCCTAGTTTCCGAGTTACAACTTGTTTTCGTAGACGATTCTGTCAAAATCGATTGGTGTCGTTAGGCCCTATTTGTATAATGACTGATCTAAATTGATCCCATTTCTGTATTTTTTTTACCTCGATATTTAATCATGTCATGTAAAAATCTGTTTGTATTCTCAAAACAGTGTCGGCCCATACGTTTTCACATGCAATACAGTAATTAATACTCCCTTGTTGTAACCCGTGTTAGGTGGTATAAACCTACACATGTTATTTGTCATCATTCACTTGATGGTCAGTTAATGAATTTATAACAGGTATAATTAGTGGTAACACACTTAGATTACCCGACAAAGGTTCCCATTTGGCATTTCTTGTGTCTGGAGTAAATATTCAACATTATAAACATCGATCAAAGGATTAACCGATAACACGCTGATTGATTAATTACTTTTATCTTACACAGCGGAATTGTCAAAAGGTAGTGTTTATGTATGTAGATTTACTAATCTATACTGAATACACTCTGTCGTGTCGGTGTCTGCGTAAAACAACGTCCTTCTTTCAAAGGACTAACCGGCAATACATTGATTGATTGCCCATTATTGGCTAACTAAATTACTGTTTTTAAAGAAAGGCGGACATTATGCAATTAGTTGCCAGGTGTGCTATCTTGGGTGACCAATGAGACTATACACCAATACCTGAAAAGATTTATCACTTTTTCGTATATTAAACTGTTAAAAGACACATCATTTGGAACAGTTTTGTGGATATTGATGGATACATTCCTCGAACAAGGTAATGGCCTGATATTGTTCCTATAACTTTAATCTGTTTTAATTTTAATATTTGCATTTTGATTTTATTCATTTGTCGTAGCATTCAACAGAATCATTGTGTAATGAGTCAGACAACATGCACTAGGGTGTGTGTGCGAATTATGATTCACATTGGCAAACTATAAAATGTCTAGATATTACAGTTCTGTTATAAATTCACTATAAGTATCAGCAGATCGTCTGCTTTTTATTATTTTATTTAGTTTCAAAATGGATACAAGTATGATAATAAACTAATTAGGATTATAAGACCAAATATAAAGACGCACATTGACTAGTATCTACATACTGGTGAGTGGACATTAACCATGGGAATGTAGCAAGAAATTTATCGCGCAGTATTGTGACTTCGACCCCCACCTCGCTTCCGTGGAAGAAATCGTTATGTTATAAGTTGTGTCATGCAAAATCCGTTTGGTTATGATTCCAATACATATTTAACTACGAGTAGAAAGTAGTCTTGATTATCTAACTTGATGAAAACAAACTATAATCTCATTAATTCTAACAGATTTGTTTATTTTTAAAAAATGGCGGCGCCCTGTCGGGAACATCCGCCAGTCTGAGGATAAATGGTATTTAGGTTTGTTTTCACCGAGTTACAAAATCAAAACTACTTTCTACTGGTAGTAAAATATGTATTTTATTGATGGCCAATAGGATTTTGCATGACATAGCGTATAACATAACAATTTCTCTCGTGGCAGCGAGGTGGGTGTCAATATAATACTACTTACAATATTATTGTTACTTCGACCACAACCTCACTTCCGAGGAAGAAATCGTTATGTTACAAGTTGTGTCATAGAAAATCTTTATGGTCATCAATCATATGCATATTTTACAACAACTAGTAAGTAGTTTTGATTCTATAACTTCAGTGAAGCGATCTGAACACAAGTAAGATATCGTTTCAGGCTTCCACAACGCTCGCTTCGCACTCACAAACATAACCGATTTAGCACGAACTGCGGGGTCCTGTGGAAATCTGTACATGGGGACACCATCGCCCGACCCCTAGGAGCAATTGACGACAAAGCAACGATTCGGCATGTCATCGTTGATGCCGAGAAATCATCAAAATGATGAGCGTGCTACACATTTTCTATACAACTAACTGAAAATCGTTCCTCATATGACGTCACTGCAGTGCTCTGGCGACAGAGTTACGTAACCTGTCTGTGGTTTCGTTGGCGGGCGAGAGGGAAGCAGGCGACTTTTTGGCCACTTTTAATCGCTCGGTATTAATTAACCACAAGTTTTTAAAGAATAAATTTGGTGTTCCGCATAAGACTAACCACAAATCTTTCATATGTAATGGTTAAAAGAGTAACAAAAAACAAAGTTTAGTGGTTCTTTAACATAAACATCCTGTGCTCATTCAGCATGAGACAATAAAGGTTAATTAGGGAACCCCAATATCTTAATTAAGGAAAGAAAAGCAGTCAAAACACTGTCACTTCCTGCCCAGGACCCCAGGATGTCACTCGCTAAGAGAAGTAAGCAACCTTCCCTCATATCAAGGAAAACACATAACAACAAGACGGTGTCTTTTCTACAGGAATCTCGGTATGTGGTCATTGTTGTTGTGTGGGTTTTTTCACCATTAACTATATATTTTCAATCAAACTATGCATTTGTGAAGGCAGGAAAAGTATCGACCTAAATGTGCAGGTTTCGTTTTAATATTCTGCAATCCATTTTTAGTATTACCCGGTGGCCCGGCCCGGCCCGACTTTTCTTGGCCCGACTTTTAGGCCATCCCATATTACAGGAATATCACAAGAGCGGACGCCAGACATGGGCGTCACACATTGTACCCATGTGGGGAATCGAACCCGGGTCTTCCGCGTAACGAGCGAACGTTACCCCGGCGCCCCGTGAAGTCTATGGAAGACATACATGAAGTTGGAAAGACATGAATATACATGGATATTAGATCCATCCATATTTCTATCAGTCTTTCATGGAAACTTAAAAATATTCTTGCCTTTCACAAGGCGAATAAGGCGAATGTGATTTTTCAAGAATTAGATAGATGGTATCTAAACATACGTTGGTTTTATTGATATATATCACCGAATTTGAGATATCAGTAAATGAATATACATATGTAAAAACATCAGAGAATATGTGGTAAATAGTAAAATGTCAAGGAAAACAGGGGTAGCCTTTTAAAAAAACAATGGAATGAAAGATTCGTAGACAAAAAAGCAGTCACATAAAAGAAAACGATTGAGGTACAAATGTTCGCTTAGGAGTTCTGAATTCTATTTATGATTCACATAAATCATTATTCTAATCGATAGGTTAACATTGCTTGGTATTGTTAGGCCACGAAAACCTTGCAATTATGGCGAGTTTTAGCTGTTATTAACTTTTGTCAGACTCAAAATGGTCTTACCTAAGAACAAAACAATTTTCATGATGCCAAATATTAAATGCCATAAAATGATAACAATACTCCTCCTTTGTGAGTATGCTTATCCTGTTCTTCGGTCACTTAAACATCCACGTTGAAAACTGACGACATGTATCGACCTGTTTTAGTTCAGCATAGTAAACGCTGTAAGTAAAACGAACCAATCAGCTTCCAGAATCCAGATTATAGCGCGAAGTCAACTTTGACCTCAGGTGACCCCGTACGCATGGGTCAGCTGTAGCCAATCAAAATGTCCGATTTGTGTAGTAACCTACAATTTCGCGGGTAATCTTTCATGGATGAAGTTTGTGATGTGCCGAATCATTGTAAACATTTCGGACTAATCGATGATCACATACACCAAATCAAACCTTATATGATTGATTGTGGAACGGTTAATCGATATGGCGACTGAATTAGAAGAGAGAGACGCCAGTTCGCAGGATTCAGGGTAGGTTATCCCAGTCGAGCACTGTTGATTTGCTCGCACAACTTGTCGATGTGTGACCTGCCCACTTTCGACCTGTCGTTTTCACAACCGGTCGTCAAAGTTGTAATTAACTGGTATTGAACCGAATGTGTACGTAATATTTTCATTATCTTTACTTTAATAGGTAGGCCGATCGCGATCTTATACCCTCCGTTTTATTGGATTTGTGAGAACTGTACTGGGGTGAACTAAATATTTTGCTTGCATCATATTACAAAGTAACCGCGTCGGGCAGAGGAAACCCTTCATTCTGATATGTTTTATTTTATATGAATAGGCAATATTTCAATACATAAATTTCAATCGTATATGTTTCTGATCTCAATTTAAGGATTACAAAATAACCCGGTGAACGAGTGAGCTCTTTCGCTTCCTAGTAAATAGAGTTACTTCCCTTGTTTGTTTTGACAAATTTTCACCGATCTCTTTGTAAAAATTATTTCAACTTGGAAGAGAACAGTCAATCCATGTTTAGATCTTAACGCTGACGGTAAGACATTTTGTTAGTATTCACCAGGTTACGTTTGATTTATTCTAGCTTAGAGTTAAAGCAAGACAGTGGGCACATGCACACTGCCACCGATTACAGGCAGAACACCAATAAGCTGTGTGAATGACTGAAGTTAAGAAATCTTTCTAAGTTTGAAGTTTAGAAGGACAGACACAGGAAAAACCTGACTTTTGTATATTATAAGGTTTGTTTTACACAGTTAATCAGAAATGCCCCAAATGCTCCATGTTCAGTCAGTATTAACAAGAATTTTGAAGTCCACAAATTGATCAGCAATCAGATGAGTCAGAGAGTGGTGATCAACTGTGCCATGTATGCGTTTACCAAGAGAAGATCGTCTCAGATTCTTCATCCATGGGACTGAATTGTGATGATTTTAAGCCATGGCTCCTTTGTATTTGGACCTGTGAAGTTCTGAGATACAATTGGTCTCCACTAACCCATGCTTGTTGTAAGAGGCGACTGGGTGATCAGACTCGATGACTTGGGTGATACATGTCATCGTATCCTAATTTGCATGGATCAATGCTCATGATGTTGATCACTGGATTGTATCGTCCAGACTAAATTACTGGTTAGTCAACACTGTTCTTCAAGATGTAGACTCAAATTTCAAACACCCTGAAATTATTACACAAAAGTCAAATTTATCAGTGCACAGAGTTTTACTAGACACAAGTTGCTGGACAACACTTTGTGGTTTGGGATAGTTGTTTTTGCCTTTGTATATTTAAGCACAAGTTGTCAGTCTTGTTAGGTATGGATAGTTTTCACTGAGTATTCAGTATGTCAGTGCAACGTATATCACTTGATATATGTCAGTTATACACATTTGTCCTTGGTTTAAAAACATTATTGGAAATACATGTGACTATTCAAGTCATCATGATTTTAAGCCATGCCTGCATTGTGTTTGGACCCGTGAAGATCTTGGCTAAAATTGGTCCCCAGCAACCCATAATTGTCGTAAGAGGTGACTAATGGTCAGATGGTTCACTTGGGTGACCCATGTCATTGTTCCCCAATTACATAGATCACTAGATTTTCTGGTCCGGATTTGATTATTTACAGACCACCTCCCTCTGTATGGGGTTAATCAATGGACAAACATACTTGAACTTTGACAATTCATTTAGCATGTTAAAAGTCGAAATTGTTACAATGTTATTAGTTAATTAATAAACACCACTTGGCAGTGAATGAACGATTCCGTGTCATGTACCTATATGTTGTTGATGGTTGAACAAATTCATTAAAAAATTGTCACAGTAAGAATCAAAGCTGCCAAAACCAACTAGTATTACATTATACCTGTCCCTTCATTTCAAGCTGTTTTGTTCTTGTATTTTATACTGTTAATGAAGAGTAATCTGTTCAATTAAACCTCCCAACAGCACAAATGGGTGGGTTTAGGTTTTCGCCACTTTTAGCTATTTTCCAGCAATATCATGCCGGGGGACGCCAGAAAGGGGCTACACATTGCACTTATTGGGGAATCGAACCTGTGTCTTTAGCTTAATGAGTGATGCTTTAACCACTGGACTACCCCTTCACCATGTTCTCAGTATGACAATATGGCATGGATATGTCAGTATGACGTATGTGAAAAATGATTGAGATGATGTATAGAGCAGGACGATACACTATGTCACGATACAAAACATATCGCAATATTTTACATACGAAACGTATCACAATACATACACCTTGAAAGAATGACACAGTATCAAGATTTAAAATAATTTATTTCAAGTTGTTTGTGTTTAACAATAACACTATTGTAATAAACAAACAAGTAACTCTATCATACTTGCGTATTTTTCTCTAAATAAGTACTGTAACATGTTTAAGATAATACTGTTTTGAAAAAAAAGTTGTGTATCGTTTTATATCGATACACCAGTCCACGATACGATAGCTGTATCAAACTTAAATGTATCACAGTGAATCGTCTCAGTCCTATTGATGTATCAGGATTTCATGGAGCAATATGGTGACTAACACATCCCATTTTAGACCTGAAAAGAACAGGGTTAGATTTAATTAGTATTCAGCATCCCATCCTTTTTGTTAAAATCTTTGGTTTGTCATGCATGTGATTGTATCCCGATTGCACAGATCAATGCTTGTTATGGCAATCACTGGATTGTGTGGTCCAGACTGTTTACAGACCACAACCATATAGCTGGAACTCTGCATGTTTTAAGCATCTAAAGAAACATGGATATGTACGATAAACATTGTTAATTGCAATCGGCACTGAATTTCACTAGTTTACAACGTGATTAACCAGAGCTCAACAGCGGATTTGTTGGTGTGCTATTTTCGATGATGTGAATATGTGTGATCACTGGGCAACTTTTTTTATGGGAGCCACGGATTACCCCGCGGTTTAACCGAATCCGCGCTATTGCGAAGAGCGTTATTGTGAGGGATGACTGTACATGGTTACATTTTTATTTCAATTGCAAAATTTCGAAGCATTTACGGATCCTTATTTCAGTTCCAACAACCCAAGAATAACTTGGAAAAATAAGATCTTCATTCAATTTTATCACACCTGAAGAATAGGTGTACAGCAGTTTATTCAGAATCTGAACAATAGCTACATCAAGTATATGTCTGAAAGTCCAATCATTATCAAAGACTGAGACCTAGAAACCTGTTTATTCACGACTGACACTTAACCACCATACTTTGTTCCTCGGTGATTGATTTAATTAGGGTCAAACTCTTCACTTAATATCATAGATCGTACCTGTCTCACAAACAAGAGACAGTAGGCCGTCTCACATACACATTACGTCTCTGTCTGATCATGATCATCCGAGTGTTAGAAATCGAGCTGAGAATATTGTGCATCTTTTATTGAAACCATTGAAAATGAGTGTCTGGTGAACGTCAAACAGTTGTGTATTTGTTTTGCAGCCAGGGCACAGATATGACCAAGGAAAACACCAAGGTGCCTACAGCTCAGAAAATGGATACTGACTTTCTGAAGTTGTGTGAAGAGCTCGAGCTGTCAGAGGATGTAAAGAAAAAGGCTCTGGTCCAGCTGAAGTGTCTGATGATGGGGAGCAGTCCTGGGGAGGGTCAGGTGAGATGTGCTTTTCTGTCAGCAGGTGTTAAAGGGGGGACCAGCTCCTTGAAGTAAGGATGAGATCTATGCTCTATGCTTGAGTTATAGATGAAATATACAAGAATTAAAGATGAGATCTGCTTGAGTTATAGATGAGATATACAAGAATAAAAGATGAGAGCTGTGCTTGAGTTATAGATGAGATATACAAGAATTAAAGATAAGATCTGCTTGAGTTATAGATGAGATATACAAGAATTAAAGATGCGATCTGCTAGAGTTATAGATAAGATATACAAGAATACAAGATGAGATCTGCTAGAGTTATAGATAAGATATACAAGAATTAAAGATGCGATCTTAAAGATTTCTCTCTTTTTCAGTCTTCTTATTTTGACCTATTCACATGTGCCTTGTACATGGCGATGGTGGACTCGAGGTAAGTGCTGTCAACTCTGGGTTCAGTCAGGTGTACTACAGTGGGTTCAGTCAGGTGTGTACTACAGTGGGTTCAGTCAGGTGTATACTACAGTGGGTTCAGTCAGGTAGTATACTGGGTTCAGCCAGGTGTATGCTAGAGTGAGTTCAGTCAGGTGTATACTACAGTGGGTTCAGTCAGGTAGTATACTGGGTTCAGCCAGGTGTATGCTAGAGTGAGTTCAGTCAGGTGTATACTACAGTGGGTTCAGTCAGGTAGTATACTGGGTTCAGCCAGGTGTATACTACAGTGGGTTCAGTCAGGTGTACTAATGTGGGTTTAGTCAGGTGTATACTACAATGGGTATATTCAGGTGTATACTTCAGTGGGTTCAGTCAGGTGTATACTTCAGTGGGTTCAGTCAGGTGTATACTTCAGTGGGTTCAGTCAGGTGTGTACTACAGTGGGTTCAGTCAGGTGTATACTTCAGTGGGTTCAGTCAGGTGTATACTTCAGTGGGTTCAGTCAGGTGTGTACTACAGTGGTTCAGTCTACAGTGGGTTCAGTCAGGTGTCTACTACAGTGGGCTAAGTGGGTTCAGTCAGGTGTACTACAATGTGGGTTCAGTCAGGTGTATACTACAGTGGGTCTCAGTCAGGGGTGTGTACTACAGTGGTTCAGGTGTCAGGTGTACAGGTAAATGTGGGTTCAGTCAGGTGTATACTACAGTGGGTTCAGTCAGGTGTGTACTTTTCAGTGGGCTCAGTGGGTCTAGTCAGTGTCTACTACAGTGGGTCCAGTCAGGTGTATACTACAGTGGGTTCAGTCAGGTGTATACTTCAGTGGGTTCAGTCAGGTGTCTACTACAGTGGGCTCAGTCAGGTGTCTACTAAAGTGGGTTCAGTCAGGTCTCTACTACAGTTGATTCAGTCAGGTGTCTACTACAGTGGGCTCAGTCAGGTGTCTACTACAGTGGGTTCAGTCAGGTGTCTACTACAGTGGGTTCAGTCAGGTCTCTACTACAGTTGGTTCAGTCAGGTGTCTACTACAGTGGGCTCAGTCAGGTGTATACTACAGTGGGTTCAATCTATCAACACAGGTGTATCCTACAGTGGGTTCAGTCCACCCACATGTATAGCGCATGTCAGCCTGATGGCAGGTCAAGTTTTGTGTCCGGGCTTGATGATTAGCAGGATGCCTTCTTGGAATATTACTGAGTGCAATGTGTAACCAACAAACACAAACAAACACAAGCAAACATGTTTCTTTATCTTACAAGAGAAACATTTGAGTTTGAGTGAGTTTAGTTTTAGGGCACTCTTAGCATTATTCCAGCAATATCACAGTGGGGGACACCAGAAATGGGCTTCACACATTGTACCCATGTGATGAATCAAACCCGGGTCTTCTGCATGACGAGTGTCTGAACATTTTGGACTATCACTTCTTGCTTTTATTTTGTTGAAATGGCATTCAGGAAACCTATTCACTATTCAGTCTTATAAACATATTAGATTGAGTTTTACCTCTGATTTTAGGATGCCCTACGGTCCACTAGACCCCCAATTGCAGTGCGGCTACCTTGACGGCAATCCCAGCATCACCCTCACCAACCTGCTACAACACACCAACCTCAAGTAAGTCAATGGTTACCATGGTTACAGTACAAGAAGGCTGAAGCTCACCTGACAGAGTCAGCTTATGTCATTGGCAGCCTTTGAGATTTATCCATCAGAGATTTATCCAAGATTTAAATCAAAGTGTTCCTGAAAACACAATACCTGTGGTGAATGTGGTCAGATGTAAGATATGAGATATTTGGGATTACACTTTCTCACGAAAGTACAGATTGTAGTACATTTTGGATTCAGTCTCATTCAGGACTCGAACCGGCACTATCAGACTGAGGCACCTATTCTAGCACTATTAGGGCAATATCACATCAGGGACACCAGAAATGGGCTTCACACATTGTACCCATGTGGGGAATCGAACCCAGGTCTTCAGCGTGATTAGTGACGCTTTTAACCACTAGGCACAGACCTTGTTATGTATGGTTGTGTGTACTACTCTGAATGAATCTTGTTAAAAAATGTCAGTCCTTACTCCGGTCAGAATTGAGCGTGTGAGTGAGTGAGCATAGTTTTATGCCGCAATATTCCAGCAATATCATGGCGGGGGACACCAGAAATGGGCTTCACCCATTATACCCATGTGGGGAATCGAACCCGGGTCTTCAGCTTGACATGAGAAGGCTTTTAACCACTAGGCTACCTGATGTGATCCAAGATCTTACTAAACATGGTAGACAGCCATCATGTTTGTACTTTGATGTGTTTCAGCATCACAGAGTTCTTCAGGAGGATGCGAGTGTTGAAAGAGAGGGTAGTTGTCAGCGAGTCCGTCCGGCTACATCTGCTTAGTCTGGAGAAAAACTACTGTATCGTGTCCGCTCTCTTCCACACATTTGAAAAGTAAGCAGTTTAAATAACAAAATCTGCCAAGGATGAAAATAGTAGGCCTACTTGTTGACATTTCACTCTGTTTAAATTTATGTTTGATAGTTATCACATCCGGGACTTTAAAAAAATATGGCATTCAAGATGTAACAAACCCATTGAATATCATATTTGGGTAATACTTACTAGAAAGTATTCCAACTTGTTCAGTGTTGCATCCAGGCTGCGCGATAGTGGGATTCACCCCTATTAACGTACATATCCCGCAGAAAATGAAAATCAATGTGCGACATCTCACGCAATATAAATGACCACGTACCCACGTATATTATGTCAATTCATGCACCTGCATAACATGTGTGGGTCTCGTGTACACATTTGCATATCGCAAATCAAAAGCATCTTTGGTAAATATGTAAGCAACACCACGAATCGTGTTGATATAATCTTCCGTTTGTTAAACCAAACAAGTTTCATTATTCTCTCTCTTTTCATGACAAATACCCAAAGTGGTTTCTTCACCTACATCATTGCTGTGATGGCATCAGCATTACAGTAAATACCTATCTGCAGTCAATATGTAATCCCCCCTGCTTGGTGTCAGGTCCCCCTCTTTTGTAATGGTTAAGGGGGATGTCCCCTTAATCCCAAATTCCTGGATGCAACAGTTGCGTGTTTTTTCTCTGTATTCTGCTAACACTGGACCCGTAAAGATCTGGTTCAGAATTGGTTTTCAGGAACCCATACTTGTGAATACTGGGTTCATGTTGCTGATCACAGGATTGTCTGGTCCAGACTTAATTATTTACAGACTACTGGAGTAGCTGGAATATTTTTGAGTGCGACATTAAACAAACAAACAAAAACAAATATCTTCAGAATATCTTTGTGGTCCATTGTACCAGAAATGTTTAAATAAGAACATATTTAGCGATATATAGATTCTTACGTCATTTTGAAGTTGGAATATGAATCTATTTCATAGTCTATACTTAAACAACACTAAATGCAATAAACTGCAAGTTGTTCTCCATGGTGGAGTACCTGTTCTCACCAACCTCTAGAGGTGAGGTGAGGTGAAATTGGGTTTTACCTCGTGCCTGAGAATATTTCGCTCATATGACGACGTGCATGCGTGTGTATTTGTATGTGCGGCTGCTTGTACTAGCCCAGACTGAAGCTGGTTCTATAGTGCTAGCCCACTGAGATACCATGCCGCAGTGAAGCATGAATACCCCACTCAGACACATTATACAGACTCTGAGTCGACCAGTCCTTGTTGTACCCATTAATGCCGAGCGCCAGGCAGGGACCAACAAGTACCATATTTTAAAGTCTTTTGGTATGACGCGGTCGGGGATCGAAACCGCGACCTTTCGCTCTCTGGGCGGACGCTCTAACCACTACACCACGGGGGCGGTCGCACCAACCTCTAGAACGCCAATGGAACGATTATTAAGATGTTATAAGGCCAGATGTCACCTGGTGTATGTTTGGTTGTTGTACAACACTGCATTCAGCAATATTCCATCTATATAACATCGGCCTGTATATAATCAAATCTCAACCAGACAATCCAGTGATTAACATCATGAGCATTGATCTACACAATTGGGATTCGATGACTTAGATCAACCATTTCAACAAGCCTGACCAGGGGTGGAAATATCCCATTGCCCGACATCTGAGTCCAGTGTTTTTTTTCTGTCGGGCAAGCAAATTTGTATATCACACTGTACCAGTGTCTAGTTGACTTTCCAATGTTAATTATGTTGTTTATTTATAAAAAATCGACAAGAAAACGGCTGGTATATAGCGGAAAAATTATCAGGGCAAGTGATTTTACATGTGCCCTGTACTGGAGTACACAAGCAATTGTAAAGTTAATTCCACCCCTGCTGACCACCCGATTGCATCAGTTCACAGCTTGCAACAAACATGGGCGTGCTGAAGACCAGTTCTAATCCAGATGTTCACTGATATTTAATGTGTTATCTTCATGTTGTAGGCTATGCCGATCTGTATTTAGAGAAGACCCCAAAACAGATGAGGATTCTAACGAGTAAGTCATTATTAGAATTTGGAACTTACTGGCAAACAAGGATAAGTTGGACCGGCGCAAGAGAACGTGTTTACGAGAAGTAGGTGGTGCATGGCAATGAGCAAATCCATTTGGTTTGTGAAAGTTAAAGCAGATGTAGGCTAGTGCATGTGCAGTGCATGACGATGAAATTGATTCCACGCGTAGTTGCACAGGCCTTGCTCATAAGACTCTCACGTGGTCGGTGCAGCTGGTCGGTAATATTTGGATGTATAGATATATTTTTCGAGAGAATTAAGCATGTCAAAGTCAGATAATACATTCTCAGACCCGAGAAGTGGCATACAATGTTATTATGTACATGGAGAAAGAATGTATTCCACCGGTTTGTCTCTCTCTTCACCCATCACGCTACACTTGATCACGGACAACCTGGGGCCCCTTCGCTCACAATGGCAAGCGCCAGTCAGCGGCATTCATACATGCTAATACCCAGATAGCATTCAAACGTTGGCCCAACGTTGGCAATGGTTTTGCCAACATTGGGCCAACGTTCGAATGCTATCTGGGTAAGGGTCAATTGTCAGGTCGTGCTCAACTTATCCTTGTTTGCCAGTAGGCAAATTGTGAAGTAACAAGACGTTATAGTGAGTATGGGTTTGAACCTCTCTCAGGAGGGGAATAAATGGCTTTATACCTTGTACTATAGTACTATACCCAGTAAATGTTTCAGTCCAGTCCATTCTGCAGTTCTTCAATAGTTTCATTCGGCTACGTTTTTTGGAGCCAATCCAAATCAGGTTTGTCTTATCAATGTTTATTTTTAAACCGGAAAAATGTGCAAAAAAGGTTAATGTGTTCATAACGGCTTATGGAAGTATCTGCGAACTGGGCTAATAAATGTTCACTATTACTAATCCTATACAGGTTTTTATGCATCCGGGGCGGCGGGGTAGCCTAATGGTTAAAGCATTCGCTCGTCATGCCGAAGACCCGGGTTCGAATCCCCACATGGGCACAATGTGTGAAGCCCATTTCTGGTGTCCCCAGCCGTGATGTTGCTGGAATATTGCTAAAAGCGGCGTAAAACCAAACTCAGTCAGTCAGTCAGTTTTATGCATCCCGTGTAAGGTTTTATTTAGGTGTACAGCCATGCACGAGGCATACTTGGTAATTTGTTGAAGGTTACATGAACCAATCAAAAATAAAGTTCTGACATAAGATGGGATAATAAAGCTTCTTCCATTTTATTGGTGCTCTTAGCAGTATAATGCATCTTACCTCTTTACAGTCATAACAAGTTAGAACTATGTTTACAGTTATGATAAATTTAGTTGCAATTTGGGTTGGCTGTGTGTTGTCTACATAATTCTGTATATGAATTGCTTCTTTGAGTGGCATTTTAGAAGCGTACAATATAGATGCTACATAATTCTGATGCAGGTATATGAATTGCATTATGCTTTGCAAGATATTTGGAACTAACGTGTTGGACAGAGATAAGCACTGTTCATGTTGATCCTATTTTGCTCATCAGTGATTTACTTTGAGTCCTGTATTTGAGGGTCCATGGGACTCATACTTATGATCGTGTCCTGTGACTGGGGATAGTAATGTTTCAATGTACATAGCGCCGTGAGCATGTAATGTGCGTGGATATGACCGCCATATAAGAGGACTATTACCATTATTACTAATTTCAGGGCTCCTGGACTACAAAATGGGGGTCCCAGACACTTAAATATTATTATTGATACTATGTTGTAATATCGTTGTAATTCAGTTACTGTTATTGTATTGTGTATCATGATCATCACACGGTTACAGTAATTAAATTGCAAATGATACCATAACCCAGCTAGTACCAAACTCAGTGATAACTTATTGTTACTTGATTGAAATCTTATGGAAAGTATTTGGACTTTTTTTGTGTCAATGTGGACGTGCTATTAAAATTTGTTGCATTCATTGTCAATTTTTGTGTATAAGAGGCATGGTTCATGCTAACATTTGATTTTCGGATTGTCTCCTATCAAGTTATTGACCAGTTTTTTTTGGCAAAAATTTCCATGCATAATATGTAAAGGTGATCATGGGTATAGGTATCAACCTATTTAAGGTCATCTTGGCTGGTATATGATATTGCAAGCCTTTGTTCAGTTGGCCAGTTTTTCCATTAAGTTCTGATGTCAAATGTTCTATTTTCAGGGAAAATGTATATTTCCGCGAGAATGTGATGCCACCAGTGCCTGAATCTGAAGGAGTGTCATTTAGGAAAAAGCTGTGTTGGACGATCTTCTTACATACAAAAAGTGAGATATGAATGTATTGTTCTTCCTTCAATGTTTGTAGGTTATTTTGTGTACAAGGTTCCAAGTCAGAGAGATGTTTCATTGGAAAAAGGCAAAATCTACAGTTTAATTACCTCCCTTGTCTTAAGAGAATTTCAAAGAGCCTTCGAGTTCAATTTGATCAGTTGTTATAGAATTCAAAATAAGTGTGTGTTTTTTCTTTATCTTGACTCTTAGTTATGTCTTATAGTCAGTTTGGGTTCAAATGGAAACGATGAATGATTAAATATCTTGAAATAGTGCTATTTCACGCTTCACACCGAGGGGTGACATACGGCTGGTGGAACAGCACCAGCACACATTCAGGTGCAACTCAGCACAGCCAGGTGAGATGACCCCAGCTAGTCAGGCGCTGTTCCACCAGCCATTTGTCACCCCCAGTGTGAAGCGTGAAAATATGACAATATTCCATGAAAGTTCTTAAACAACTTTTTCCGTGATTGAGCAAAAAACGTCAGATTTCAGATCCTGTTGGGTACAGAGGTTTCAGGACCTTGTGTCTTATTTATGTTTTGTGCACTTATCAGAGATCCCAAGCACTCCGATTTTCAAACACAAAATCTGCTCTCCGATTTCTCTTTAAAAACTCCGATTTTTGAGAGAAAAATTCTGAATTTATTTTTACGATGTACAATTTCTAAGTCACCAGTGATTTATTTGAGTGAACACTGGTAAAAGCATTCAGAAGCTTAGCGTGTGATCCTTTGGATGTCGATTGTGTACATTACGTGTTATTGACGATGAAGTTTCACAAAGTTTTTCCTGAATGCATGTCATAGTCTGTATGAAAGTGAAACAAAATGGCAGAGCTCACCACTCGCTCACCCCCAAACTCACACCTTTGATGCTCAGGCCTAGCTTTCAGCCAGTCATGACTCCGTTTTTCTTAGATTCAGGGTTGGCATCTCTGACTTATCCCAATTTCGAGTTATTTTATGATATGTCGTTCTCATTTGAACCCAAACGGAACAAACCTATCATTCTCCCGAAATCTAGCCTAAACTTCCTATGCTCTATTCCTCAAGAATAGAAAACGTCTCACTCAAACACACCTGTGCCATAAGCAAGTGCACTTGAACCACATGACCAATCTGGACAAGTCACTGCAGGGATTAGAATAGTGCTTATTATGCGTGACATGGCTAATCAAAAATTGAAATGGCATTTATGAAATACATTCAATGTGTCCAGGTAGCACGACTGAAATTATAAAAATAATCCTGTTTTTCAGATCACTTCCTCGTGGACAACCAGGATCTGAATCATGCTGTGTTGTTGCTCATGTGTTGTTTAGAGTTTGTCCTCCGAACAACGCCGTCGTTTCTGCTGAATCCCCCATATGGTAAGATTTAAAAGAACTAATCAAAGCTCCAGATAAGATTTAGCTCATGTGGGTACTGTACCCACTGTATTTTGTTGGAGTGGGTATTATGAATGTTGAGTGGGTATTTCATTTTCCGTTACCCACTGCTTTCAAATATGTGCCTATTTCAGTCATTTTACTCACCTAAGTAAGGTATGTTCTGCCTTATGTCATACCTAATCAAAACCAACTTATATATTATGGAAATGATTTCATAAAAAATCACTCATCCTATACTGACAGTACAACACTTGTCCTATACTATCAGTACAACTTTTCATTACGCAAGCGATTTTTATAAATATATTCCGTACGCATTTGTTTTAAACTTTTTGCGTATCTAACCTTTTAAATGCGTAATTGGTACGCAAAAATTATTTTTCAAAGCGTAATTGTAACTTTTCTATGCGTATTTTACCGGGATAATGCGCTTATCTCTGGCCTCTGACTAATATTGGTTTGTTTGTTGTTTAACTTGGCACTCAGCAATAATTCCGCTATATAGGGGCGGTCTCACTCTCCTACCCAGAGTTCCATGCGGCAAGCCAGCATAGTATCTCTGCCAATGGCCAGAAAAATGTGACGATTCGTCACATCTTGCACCGTCCATTCAATATAATTTATATATTTCTCAGCTCTTTTATTTTTGACAAGTCTACACAACTAATTAAACATCTTTGATAGAATGGTTTGGTTTCATTGAGAAAATATCCTAAAACATGTAACACTATTTCGATTTGCGTAGCGATCCTTTGTTTACATAGTTTGTGCGGCTCCACGTGCTGTCATCGAAGCTGATGAAGAGCAAACGATGCAGCCATTTGATATCTAAATATGTACTGTCATAGACCTTACTGTCGCAGTTGTGGAAAAATATATATGTAACAATGTAAAACATTATGAAGGGAGCGCCGAAAAGCTTTCGTGAGTCCAGTCTCTTCTTATTATGAATATGCGCATTTGATTATGAACAAGAGAAAAGTCCGGTCACGTGATATGCAAATTAGCCTGTGGCAGTGATGTTATGTTAAGTCATCGCTGTGCCGGAGTGTGGGGGCGGTCTGTGAATAATTGAGTCTGGACCAGATAATCCAGTGATCAACAGCGTGTGCATCAATGTACACAATTGGGATACGATGTGTAAACCCAAGTTAGCGAGCCTGACGACCTGATTCTGTTAGTCGCCCATTATGACAAGCATGGGTTTCTGAAGATCCATTTTAACCCAGATCTTTGCGGGTCAAAAGGATCTAAGATGACAGGTTTCTATGGGAAGTTTGAGTCTGTCATCAACACTTCCCAGCCTTGTGTATACAGATTTCTTCCACCACACATGTTTTCTCAGTGGTCTAGTGGATAGAGTGTCTGCCCAGGGGCAGGTTGAGGTTTGAATCCCAATCATTGCTCGTAATAACAATCACTGGTTTGTCCGGACTCAGTTATTTATAGACCACTGTTACAATATTTGAGTATTGCCAAGTTCGCATTTGAGTGGGAAACAAACAACAGTGTTTTAAAAACCACTGGTCCACATTTACCAAAATGAAATGTATTTTAGATCCCCAACATTTTAATGCCAGACTGTACCTTATTTATTGATTTTGCATTTTTTCTTTCATTACTTTCAGATGTAATACGCGCATTGGTTGTTTAAAAACAACAGAAAGCAGAACAACAAATATGTTGTTGAAACTTGCTGAACAAGTCAAAACAAGCATTGAAGAGGTGAGTGTTCATGACAGTTAATGAATAGGAATCTTTTTTTGAGCTGAACAGTTCTTGTGATGAGGGTATCACAAACTGGATGCGGGAGTTGTGTCCCTTTACACCCTTTGCAAAACATAGGCTTTCCTAGTATAGAGAGTATGGGGAGCTGAAATACCAGTGTAATTGATCACATCATGCTCTGTATTTATCACACCATGCTCTGTATTGATCACATCATACCTTGTATTGATCACATCATGCCTTGTATTGATCACATCATGCCTTGTATTGATCACATCATGCTCTGTATTGATGGCATGCCTTGTATTGATCACATCATGCCTTGTATTGATCATATCATGCTCTGTATTGATCACATCATGCTCTGTATTAATGCTATGCCTTGTATTGATCAGACCATACCTTGTATTGATGACATCCCGCTCTGTATTTATCACATGAGGCTCTGTATTGACGAAATGCCTTGTATTGGTAACATCATACTCTGTATTGATCACAGTTTGCCTTGTATTGATCACATCATGCCTTGTATTGATGACATCTTGCTCTGAATTGATGACATGCCTTGTGTTGATCACATCATGCTCTGTATTTATCACATGATGCTCTGTGTTGATGACATGCCTTGTATTGGTCACATCATGCTCTGGACTGATGACATCATGCCTTGTATTGATCACATCATGCCTTGTATTGATTCACACCGTGCCTTGTTTTGATCACACCATGCCTTGTATTGGTCACACCGTGCTCTGTATTGTTGACATGCCTTGTATTGATCACTTCATGCTCTGTATTGATGACACCGTGCCTTGTTTTGATAACACCGTGCCTTGTATTGATCACATCGTGCCTTGTATGGATCACACCGTTCCTTGTATTGATCACACCATGCCTTGTTTTGATCACATCATGCCTTGTATTGATCACATCATGCTCTGTATTTATCACATGATGCTTTGTGTTGATGACATGCCTTGTATTGGTCACATCATACTCTGTATTGATCACATTTTGCCTTGTATTGATGACATCATGCTCTGTATTTATCACATGATGCACTGTGTTGATGACATGCCTTGTATTGGTCACATCATGCTCTGTAGTGATGACATCATGCCTTGTATTGATCACATCATGCCTTGTATTGATTCACACCGTGCCTTGTTTTGATCACACCATGCCTTGTATTGGTCACACCGTGCCTTGTATTGATGCCATCATGCCTTGTATTGATCACATGCCCTGTATTGATGACGTCATGCTCTGTATGTATCACATCATGCTCTGTATTGATGACGTCATGTTTCTGTATTGATGACGCCATGCTCTGTATTGATGACATCATGCCTTGTATTGATCACATGCTCTGTATTGATCACTTCATGCCTTGTATTGATCACATCATGCTCTGTGTATCACATCATGCCTTGTATTGATCACATCATGCTCTGTATGTATCACATCATGCCTTGTATTGATCACATCATGCTCTGTATCAATGACATGCCTTGTATTGGTAACATCATACTCTGTATTTATCACATCATGCTCTGTATTGATGACATGCCTTGTATTGATGACATCATGCCCTGTATTGATGACATCATGCTCTGTATTGATGACATGCCTTGTATTGATGACATCATGCCTTGTATTGATCACATGATCATCACATCACATCATGCCTTGTATTGATTCACACCGTGCCTTGTATTGATGACACCATGCCTTGTATTGGTCACACAGTGCCTTGTATTGATGCGATCATGCCTTGTATTGATCACATGCCCTGTATTGATGACGTGATGCTCTGTATGTATCACATCATGCTCTGTATTGATGATGTCATGCTCTGTATTGATGACATCATGCCTTGTATTGATCACATGCCCTGTATTGATGATGTCATGCTCTGTATTGATCACATCATGCCTTGTATTGATGACATCATGCTCTGTATCGATGACATGCCTTGTATTGGTAACATCATACTCTGTATTTATCACATCATGCTCTGTATTGATGACATGCCTTGTATTGATGACATCATGCCCTGTATTGATGACATCATGCTCTGTATTGATGACATGCCTTGTATTGATGACATCATGTCTTGTATTGATCACATCATGCATTGCATTCACAGGTGCAGCTTATTCAGCAGAACTGCACCGAACCCTTCTTCCACGAACTGCCGCACATCGATGGAGACCTGGATGTAAGTACCACACCCTGACCTTCAGTGTCTGAGGTTCAAGGTCATGTTATGTAAGTAGGTCGCCCCATGGTGGCCCTGTTTAGAATCGGTGCCCAGCGCCCAAATGGCCTGAAGTAACAGGTACAGGTTCTTTAGTTTGATTTCCTAAGACTCTTTGCCATTGCACCTCGTATCAACCACTGGCTGTTCTGGCTGTGACTCAGTATAATACTGAAATTAGTAGACCTGTTAGGATTCAAATGCATATTTGGTGAATCAATCTGTATCCCATCATGAATTCAATTCAGTATTTGTCGTCACTAAGATCGAATATTTTTATGAATAGGTTTAAGAGAGCATTATTTTTGGAAATAGTTGGTTGTTGTTGGTTGTGAGATACATAAAATTGAATATATCCAAGCCATGCAGTAGCGTAACTTGAGTTATTTTGAAGTGGCCCTGTCGTATGCATTGATATAAATTATTGCACAGTTTGCAATGTATATCTTTGTTACATATGTTATATTTGGGATTAAACTTTCTTAGTAAAGTACAGATTCTAGTACTTTTCGGGTTGAGTCCCATCTGGGATTTGAACCCACACCCTCAGAGTCAGGCTCCTAATCGCCAGCACATAAAGTCAGACGCCTTGACCGCTCAGCCACCGCGGCTTCCATTTACTTTTCTAAGAAAGTGTAATCCCAAATATAACATATGTTACGTTTGACCACTTTCTAAAATGGCATTGTGTATTTCATATATCTTTGTTGTCCCTTCGCCGCGGAACGGGGGACTATGTATTCAGTGGCATCCGTACATCCGTACGTCCCGATTCTTGTTAACGTGATATATCATGAACTGTTGTACCCAATGTCTTCCAATTTGGTGACAGCCTACATTGGGGGATCACACAGACACCAGTCGATGTTGGTGACCTGGACTTTATTTTCAAGGTCACTACGAGACGTGGAACGATTTTCAAACTCTTAACGCGATATCTCATGAACTGTTGTACCCAATGTCTTCAAATTTTGTGACAGCCTACATTGGGGGCATTACCCAGCCAGCAGTCGATTTTGGTGACCATGACCTTATTTTCAAGGTCACCAAGACACTTTGACCACTTTTCAAACTCTTGATATCTCATAAAACATTGCACCCAATGTCTTCAATTATGTCGACAGCCTACATTGTGTGATTTTGCAGACACCAGTCATTTCAGGCATCTTGTACGTGACACACACACACACATACACACAAAAATAAAAAAATGATGTAGTAAATGTGTTATAAATATTCCATTCTTCTGTGGCGGGGGACATTGCCATATCAGTAATTTCTGGCTTTGTACGATATGATGCGATACGATATGAGTAATACATATTGTATTCGCCTCATAATGTTTCGTTACAACCCCAGAGAACCGTGAAGGTCCGGGTTAGAATATTGATCTTCAGTAACCCATGCTTGTCGTAAGAGGCAACTAACGGGATTGGGTGGTCAGGCTCACTGACTTGGTTGACACATGTCATCGGTTCCCAATTGTGCAGATCGATGCTCATGCTGTTGATCACTGCATTGTCTGGTCCAGACTCAATTTTGCCATATAGTGGAATATTGCTGAGTGCGGCGTAAAACTAAACTCACTCACTTACAGCCCCAGAAATTTGACATTATCTGGCATATGTTCTGTTTCAGACCGTATTATATTATCCTACAACTACTGTCCAAATTTATGTAACAGATACACTGTGCTATAGAGACTTGACTTTCTTTGCAGAACTGAGCACAACATTCTCATTTAGTTGTCATCATTTGTCGTTCAGATTGTTGTGTCAAAGTGTTGGGTTACTTTTGATGCAGAGATGTCCCTTTTTCTGTTGCAGCTGGAGAGGCTGATAGAACAGTATGACGAGCGACATAAAAAGGAAGGGGATATCAACGAGATGCTTTTTCTCCGACATGACAGTCACCTCATACCCTCCGACCATAACAGGAACAGGTCAGTTTGTAACAACAGTAGAAATTTCTCCTTTCTTATCACTCATCTTCATAGGGATAGACCGCCTCTGTGGTGTAGTTGTTAGAGCGTCCGTCCATGCTTCACTGCGGCATGGTATCTCAGTGGGTTAGCACTATAAAACCAGCTTAAGTCTGGGCTAGTACAAGCAGCCGCACATACACACCCATGCACATCGTCATATGAGCGAAATATTCTCAAGCACCCACGTTAAACCCAATTTCACCTCACCCTCAGAGACAGGGAAAGATTCCTGAGAATGAACACACGCACGTCCTTCCTCAGAAACGACAGAATGAACAGTGAGGTACGAGGTAGACGGTGTGAGTTACCTGCTGTTGGCAGAAGGGGGTCCTGGGAGGCCCTGTAGGGTCGGTCTCACAAGACAAAAACAAGTTTTTAGTTTTGTAAATATTTTCTATTAAAATATTGTTACAATTGTCGTAGGATTTAAAAATGATAGGTTGCAGAAGACCAATTCTAATTCTAACCGGATCTTCACAGGTCTGTAGGAAAGTAGAAATTGGAACAAACCTGTAGAGGTTTCTGATTCTTTGAAGAACTCCTCCTGGAGGTACATATAAGCATTAAGATGTCGCTTGTTGTAAGATAGGGTGGTCAGACTTGCTGACTTGGTTGACACATCATCGTATCCCAATTGCATAGATTGAATTTGTGTCAAAACATCACACTCATGAAAAAAGAAGTTATGAATACAAAAAGCCAGTTAGAAATTGGTCAAATATAACACATGTTATATTTGGGATTACACTTTCTTACTTTTGTTGGTTTGTGTCCCATCCAGGATTTATGTGCTGGCGATTAGGTGCCTGACTATTGGTGTATGGGTTCGAATCCCAGATGGGACTCAACCCAACAAAGTACTAGAATCTGTACTTTACTGAGAAAGTGTAATCCCAAATATAACATATGTTATAAAAGAAGTTGTTATCCATAAAGTTTGTTAATATTCTACTAATGGTTGTTGTTCTTTACAGAACCAGTCTGGAGCAGTCCTGTGTGTCGGGATCTCCACAGATGATGACACCTGTCAGGTGTGTAACTCTCAGAGCAATTAATTTACTGGTTTGCCCCTCATTGTACAAACATAACTCTAAAGAAGCAATCTGGTCTCCTGATCGATGTTTGTCAAACCACATCATGAGTATTGTCAGCAAGTGAGGCGCGAGAAGGTTAACAGTCAGATGACTTACCCACCAGGTACCCATTCACTGCTGGGTGAACAGAGGCAATTTTGAACAAACTCACTTGCCTAAAGTGTGACCACATAGGTGTTTCATTGTGGGGCAGGACTGAAGTCCTAGAAACTCTTAGGAGTCGAGGTGCCAAACATGGTCACCCACCCATGGACTCTCCTTGACCAACGTTGCTAAACTTCAACTGTTTTTTGACTTAGACTCTGAGCACAAGACCACCCACCCACTAAGTACAAAGCTAAGCCTCTTTATGAGTCTTCTATCCCTGTAGTGAAGGTAGATCACTGCCAAGCACTTCAATGCTGGATAACAAGGACACAGGTATAGGCTTTGTCTAAAAGAACGGCTAAGAACGGCTCTGATCCAAGAGCACAGCTGTAGTCTGATCCAAGAGCACAGCTGTAGTGTCTGATCCAAGAGCACAGCTGTAGACTCTGATCCGTATAGGCTTTGTCTAAAGAAACAGGCTAAGAGCTCTGATCAAAGAGCACAGCTGTAGTGTCTGATCCAAGAGCAGAGCTAAAAGCTTTGATCCAAGTGCAGAGCAACATTTTCTGATCCAAGAGCACAGCTGTGGACTCTGAACAAGAGCAGAGCTAAAGGCTCTGATCGAAGAGCACAGCTGTGGACTCTGATCCAAGAGAGTAGCTACAGGTTCTGGTCCAAGACCACAGCTAAAGGCTCACACATCATACCCATGTGGGGATCAAACTTGGCGTGCTGAGAGAACACTTTAACCACTGGATACTAAGGAATAGTTGCAAGTACAGTGCAGCTTGACCAGTTCAAATGTCTTCAGAATTTCTACTCTCAACATTGGGCAGATTGCCAAAGGTTTTCCATGTTGCAATTGTCTCTTGCATATCCTAGGATGTATTTGATTGAATGTTTACAGAGCTGCCATGAACACTGTTCAGCAACTGAAGGCCATTCTCAGCAATCAGGCCAGTGATCAGGCCAGTGACAAGCTCCTCTGTTACTTTAAGGTAGGAATGTACATTTGGGTCATTGTCTCTTTGGATCCATGAAGATCCAGGTTAGAATTGATCTTCAGTAACCCATGCTTGTCGTAGGAGGCGACTAACAAGATCAGGTGGTCAGGCTTGCTGACTTGGTTGACACATGTCATCGTATCCCAATTGTGTAGATTGATGCTCATGCTGTTGATATACTGGATTGTCTGGTCCAGATTCGATCATTTACAGACTGCAGCCAAATAGCTGGAATATTGCTGAGAGCGTCGTAAAAAACTAAACTCACTCACTCATTGTCTCTTTGGGGGATTTTGGGGCAGAGCAGGTTTCATATTTGTTAGACCCTTTGTTGTCACCTGTTTGAAAGTAGGGGGGGATAAAATGATCAGTTGCTTTGTTTGTCTGTCCACTGTCTGGTTTTTGTTTCTGTATCCGAATTCCTAAACTGTTGAAGATTTTGTGTTGAAACTTGCTATACTGATCAGTCAAGGGTTAGTTGGTGGCTTTTCATGATTTGGGATATTAGAAACACTTAACAGCATTATTGTATTTTCACTGGCCTGAAAGTCGCCCATGGTAGTTAATTGAAACTCCATTTGTGAATTGCACCAGACTGAAGGGATATGTTCTCTCCTGATGATTCATCTTTAGAAGTTTGGTCTGCTAACTCACTCACATACTCACCCACCTGCAAACCCACTCGCCCACCTACCTCCTATCTCTCACATCTCTCCATGGTATGTTCACCCACTCACTCACTCACTCACCCACCAACTCACTCACTCACTCACCCACTCAACCACCGGCAAACTCATTCACCTACACACGTCAGCCAGTATGCTCACCCACCAACCACCAACCAACTCACTCACATACTCACCACCCACCAACTCATTCACATACTCACCACCCAACCAACTCACTCACATACTCACCCACCAACCAACTCACTCACATACTCACCAACCCACTCACTCACATACTCACCCACCAACCAACTCACTCACATACTCACCACCCACCAACTCACTCACATACTCACCCACCAACCAACTCACATATTCACCCACCAACCAACTCACTAACATATTCACCACCCACCAACTCACTCACATACTCACCACCCACCAACCCACTCACATACTCACCCACCAACCAACTCACTCACCAACCCACTCACTCACATACTCACCCACCAACCAACTCACTCACATACTCACCACCCACCAACCAACTCACTCATACTCACCACCAACCAACTCACTCACATACTCACCACCCAACCAACTCACTCCCATACTCACCCACCCACCAACTCACTCATACTCACCACCAACCAACTCACTCACATACTCACCACCCACCAACTCACTCACATACTCACCACCCAACCAACTCACCCACCCACCAACTCACTCACATACTCACCACCCACCAACCAACTCACTCACATACTCACCCACCAACCAACTCACATACTCACCACCCACCAACCAACTCACTCATTCACCTGCAGAACATGAACCAAACTGTTATTAGTCAATCTGATATGAAGCACAGGGCGACCAGTGAAATAACAGTGGCAGGATTTGAGGACATAATCACATGTTTCTGGTATGACTAAATTGCAGATTGCTATGAAAGGAATTCTGTGACTTGAGATAAATCTGCCAAATCTTTTAGATCTGAACTCCATGACTTACAGAATTCACAGCACTTTCCAAGTTCAGAATATACATTCTTCAGTATTTCTTAAAGGGTGGGAAGTTATATTTGACATATTCTCTTGGCAGAACTGTGCAATCGACCCAACTACCTCAATCGCAGAAAGAGTGACGGAACTCGAGAGAGTGTTCACGTCCAATTTCACGTCCAGTCAGATGACCATTGCGGAACAGCGTTTCACCATGGTCAAGAGGTTGTACTACAGAGTGATGGAGTCCATGTTGGACATGGTGGGTGCTGGGCAGCTGTTTTAACTGTAACAGTATTTATGTAATATTGACCCATGAAGATTCATTAGAATATGTCTTCAGCAACCCATGCTTCTCGTACAAGGCGACTAACGGTATCGGGTGGTCAGGCTCACTGACTTGGTTGACACATGTCATTGTGTCCCAATTTCGTAGATCGATGCTCATGCTGTTGATCACCGGATTGTCTGGGCCAGACTCTATTGTTGATAGATCGCCACCAAATAGCTGGAATGTTGTTGAGTGCGGCATGAGCCAACATACAAACAAATTTTTATAATATCAAACAGGTTTCCTGTCATCTTGTTTGCAGGGTTCACACAGATTTGAAAAGTGCCTAAATTTAACTGCTTTCGATGAAAAGTACTTGAATTTGAAAATTTACCACAAAAGTAATTAAAAAGTCCTGAATTTTTACTGTGCCCATGAAAAGTGCTTGAAATTCCATTAAAATATATGTTGTGGTTCCACTGACGATCAATCGATCGTTTTGATTAAATTGCATCTATCCTGGTCCCTTACAAAACTGAAAATGAACTTTGTCTGTGATACTTTGGGAAAAAAAGTGGTGCTTGAAAACACATCATATGTCCATGAAAAGTCCTTGAAAAGCCCTTGAATCTCATGGGCTCTTGGCTGTATGAACCCTGGGAATGCCATATGTGTAGACAAAATTTTTGCTAGTTTGTGCTTTTATCACCTTGTCTTTCAATTTATAACATAAAATAACTGATAATCTGAAATTATCTCATGGATATCTGTGTTCACTTAATGGTGTTTCAAAGTAACAGGATATTGGGTCCTGTAAGTTTCAGATGTCTGTCTGACACATTGCAAATTCACAGGACCCATAGAATAAAATTAAACACACATTTCAGAGTTAACATTTCTTATAATTGGCATTGAAATTATTAACAAACATATAACAATTTCAGTCAAAGTCATTGTGAAATATACAGTCAGACACTGGGGCCGGCGGGTTGTAAACTTATGTCAGACTGTTGGTGAATCTACTGGATTTGTCAGAGGATCTGACGCTATTCGTGAACTCTGGGATATTTTGTATGGGAGAAACTAGGAAATGGTCAGTCTCATCTTGATTGTATTAACTGTCTGAACAATATTTTCTAAACAGCAAGAGAATGTAAGAGTCATCTTTGTAATGACTTCTTTGAGAGGTATGTAAGACAATATTGACAAATTTTATGGATTACAACTTCTTTTATTTTGTGAGCGTGACATTTTGATACAGATTCTTGTACCATTGTCCATCTTGACAAGAAGCTGTTTTCCATAAAGTTTGTGAATATCTGAGTCATGGTAGTGACTTTGCTGCTAGCAGAGTGTTACCTGAGGGTGTCCGGGTGTTAGACCCTTCTCCCTAGGCAATCTGTCTATCCACTCTTGTTCTGGGGATGATGTAGCTAAGATGGATATTCAAAGATAAGTCCAGTATGGTGGTCAAGTCCTGTTTATTGTTGGCAAGAATTCTCACACAAAGGTCTTCAGACTAGTTTTCCAGGTCTACACACAACGCTGATTCACAACTTCAATGGAAGAACTTGCCCAGTATCGTGCACCACTTTACCATCCTAGTGACAAAATACAATTCCTGTCAATTATGGATCTCTCTCCTCCTCCCCCCGAAATAATGTCCTACGTCAAACAAAATTGACTCATGTCCCATCTGAATAGTTAATTACTTTATTACCATATTTCCTGGACCTTTATGGTACCATCAAATTCTTCCAGTTATAAAATGACATTGTTAGTTAGCTTTACGCCATTTACCACCAAAAATTTACATATCCAGCTAATATTTCAGACTGGTAGGTGCCAGAAGATACTGAATCAAATCATTTCAGATCCTCTGTGTGCCCCTTTTTCGACCAACTGACCATCTACATCCCAAATATCTCGAATGCCCATCCACCTAATTGTGTAGAGACACAAGATATGATCTTTCCTCCTCCTTTATGACAATTCGTAGAAATTATTATTCTCTAAGAAAAGTTAGTCAAGAAAACTTTGGTTACTCTGGTCAATGCACTTTCCAAGTACATTGACCTTTCCCAACGTGATTTCATATTTTCCTTAAATCTTTATGAAACGTATGTATTGTTTTCAATAAAAGGATATTACAACATTTTAGCTACTACGTGAGCATGTAATCCAACTCTCTTATATATATGTTACCAAATTGGAAATACATTCAGGAAACTATAGATAACACACAGTCATGACTGGACAATGAACCAATCTAAAACCCAAATTTATGAAATTTGAACGAAGTGGAATTGCAGCTTTGAACTAATATTTAATATAATTGCTGAAAACTTTTGTGATTGAATGATTGAAAGTGTAATACGTTGTGAACTGTTTTTGTTGTTGTGATCCAGGAGCACGAGAGGTTGTCCACGAATGACTTCAGCAAGCTTCTGTGTTCGGACAGTTTCCATCGATCTCTCCTTGCTGCCTCGGTGGAGATAGTGCTGATGACATATGGGCTTTCGTGTAAGTTACTTCTGAGATAGGTTTTCAAATTTACAGATGTGTATCCTTCATATTGAGAAAAGAAAATTGGGCTCTGATTCAACTAAGCGAAATCAGAATATAAAGTTATGTTTGGTGAATAGTGGTCATCACAACTTCAAGAGTTCACACAGGGTGAGAAAAATGATTTGTGAAAAATGCAGCCATACGTAAAAACATCTTTGTGGCCATTACTAAGCCAATTTCATGTTTATGTCTCAACGTAGCCAGAAAGTTACTCTTCCTGGCACAGGTGTTAGAGCTACAACACAGAATTCCCCCTAGTACAGGTGTTTGAGCTACAACAAAGAATTCCCCTTAGTACAGGTGTTTGAGCTACAACAAAGAATTCCCCCTAGTACAGGTGTTTGAGCTACAACAAAGAATTCCCCCTAGTACAGGTGTTTGAGCTACAACAAAGAATTCCCCCTAGTACAGGTGTTTGAGCTACAGAGAAAGTAGTCCCCTAGCACAGGTGTTAGCACAACAAAAACATAGTCCACCATAGTACAGATGCTAGAATAGAAAGTAGTCTCTGCAGTACATATGTTCAAGCTACAGAGAAATTAGTTCCCTAGTATGGATATTAGAGCTTCAAAGAAAGTAGTTCCCTTGCATAGATGTTACAGCTACAGAGAAAGTAGACCCCCGTAAAGATGTTAGAGCAACAAGGAAAGTAGTCCCCATGTACAGGTGTTTGTGCTACGAAAAATAGTTCCCCTGGTACAGATGCAAGAGCTGCAGAGAAAGTTGTCTTTGCAGTACAGAAGTTCGAGCTACAGAGAAAGTTGACCCCTTGTACAAATATTAGAGGTATACGATAAGTAGTCCCTATGACAGACATTAGAGCTACAAAGAAAGTAGTCCCTATGACAGACATTAGAGCTACAAAGAAAGTAGTCCATATGACAGACGTACTCCCCTAGTACATATGTTAGAGCTACAAGGAAAGTAGTCCCCTAGTACGGATGTTACAGTTCTATGCCTTGTGTTCCAGGCAATCCCTCCCTCGGTGAGATTGGTCGGGAAGACTCCCAGTTCTGCTTCCCGTGGGTGCTGAATGTGTTCAATCTCCAGGCCTTCGACTTCTTCAAAGTGCTGGAGAGCTACATCCGAGCGGAACCCAAGCTCACCAGAGAAATTATCAAAGTTTGTGCTTAGTGTATATTAAACAGTGAGTTGAATGAGTGAGTTTAGCTTTATGCCGGCGGGGCGCACAAGAAATTGGTTCCATACATTATACCCATGAGGGGAATTGAACCTTGGACTTCGTCTTGACTAGTGGCTAAATGGGCTTTACGGCTCCACGCGCTGTAATCGGTTGTCCGAGAGCAAACGATGCAGCTTGTTTGATATATAAATATATATTGTAATGAACCTTACTGTCGAAAGTTGTAGAAGAATAATTATGTAACAATATAATACATTATAAAGAGGATGGAGAAAAGCTTGCGTTAGGCCAGTCTTTTCGTATTTACGAATATGCGTGTTTGTGTACAAACAAGAGAAAAATACGGTCACATGATATTCAAATTAGCCTGTGGCAGTGATGTAATGCTAGGTCATCACTGCGCCAGAGTGTGAAGGGCCGCTGGGATAGATGTGTAAGATTGTTGGTTGCTTTGTCAATGAACAAACAAACAAACATGTTGTTTTAACACTTCAGCACTTGCAGTGGGTTGAGACACAGATCTTGGAGAGCATTGCTTGGAAAGAGGTTTGTATAATGTAGGCTGCCTATTATAATGTAGGCTGCCTATTGATACATATTGTAGACATAAATAATCGCTCACAAAAGTATTGATCAGATATCATTAAGTATCGCTGAAAGCATTTTGAGGAAAATTAAGATAAGAGGTCCAAAAGAAATCAAAATATTTCAACTTATTGGTGATAGGGGACACATTTATGCAGTGATTTCTAACAAAATTCCAGTAACGCCACCCCTTAACACAAATTGAACATAATCTTGATACGACCATGAATAAAAACATAACTGTCGATTTTGTGTGTAATTTATAAATGTATTTCATCAAAATATTTAATTAAGATATTTTCAAATTGATGATCAAAGATATTACTAATTATTGATCTCTTCGCCAATGCATCACAGTTAGGCATTGTAACAAACTATAGATTGTCTTTCCTATCTTTCCATAAAACTTGTTTTATCACGGTATGGCTGAAATACTGCTGATGTGAAGAAAAATCTTAACTCACTCACCCCACTCACTTCTATATTTCATGCTAGTTTTGGTGTAAGGACAAATTTTAAAAATCTGCCCTTGTTTTACTGTAAGTTTTCTCTCTCGTTCACAGGGATCATCGTTATTTAGTGCTATCGAAAACTCGGACATCATGATGACACAACCGCAGTCTCCGTCAACTTCGTCTCCAAACTCCCACAACACAAACACAGCTGCAGACATGTGAGAATGTAGATTCGTGATGTAGATCGACAAGAGGAGATCCTGTTCGCTGAATACATTTGTAGATTATTTAAAGGGTCTGACTGTATGTTTTGACGGGCAGATGTTTGGAGGGAGGCTTGGTGTTATGGGCTGGGGGATGGTTGGTTGGCTGGTTGTTTAACGCAGCACTCTGCAATGTTCCAAGGCCTAGATTTCCGAAGCTCTTTTAGCACTAAGATAATTAAGTAGTTAATAATGTTAATGTATGGCACTTAAGACTATCTTAGCTTAAGAGAGCTTTGAAAATCTAGGCCCAGGTTTATGGTGGCAATTCTGTAAATAATCGAGTCTGGACCAGACAATCCAGTGATCAACAGCATGAACATCAATCACACAACTGAGATAAGATGACATGTGGTCAACCAAGTCAGCTCCCGTTAGTCGCCTTTTATGACAAGCATGGGTTGCTGGTTCTTTAACTGAGCACTCAGCAATGTTCCAAGTATATGGCGGCAGTCTGTAAATAATCAGATTTTGTCTGAGAATATTGTTTTGTCTGAAAGAAGGAATTTCGATAATGCATTTTTGCTCAGAAATGAACTATAATGTTCAGGAAATGAGATTGAGGTATAGTTTGTCCACTATAACTGGTTAAAATACTTTAATATCAGCCCATCCACCACTTATATCTCCTTTTGCTGCTTATTTGCTGAGGTGCCTGCTCTAGCCATTTTTGTCGTAAGGATATTGAATTTATAAAAAAAGATTATTTTTCCTTATCCTGACTCATGATTATTTGCTCTCTCTTCCGAACGGTCAAGTGGAAACTTGAATCCTTTCAATTCCCTGAAGCTTAACGCATAAATCACTCACCATCAATTACCTCCTTTGGTTTCCGCCAAAACCGCATCGTGACCTCGCCATGCTTTGGTCCTCACTCTCTCCTCTATCGTCCTAGCAGACGGTTGGGCGGTCACTTCAGGGTCCTTTCGCAGCTTATAACTTCAAATATTTTGGATATATAGCACAAATTCTACAGTGAATGTGGTTATTAGTATGTTATTTATCATATTATTAACAAAATTTGTACAATTCGTGTCAAATTAATTCACGTTTTACTCCGTTTTCAGATGACTGTCTGTTTACAAATGTATGTGTAAACAGTGATCCATCACGTCTCAACGCTTGAATTACACCCTGGGTGTTCTTCTTGGCTGGTTAATCTTTTGATTATGTCTTGATGTTGATTATTGTGTATAATCATATGTATATATTGAATTTGTGACTTCATATATTAATTGAATTGTGAAAATTTGACTTGTGGAAATTTTCACATGTCATTGGAAATTTTATTCTAAAATTACACAACCTTGTTGGCAGAGTTTAACCAGCCTGCGTGAGAAAGTGATGAAGTTGTGAGGGTTGTGAGTTGCTGTGACTATGTTTTAAGCTGTGCTGATATACGATGTCATCCCAGTCGAAGTCTGCGGCGTCACCCGATGGGAGAAGGTATCTCCGCGGACTGTAAGTAAAGGAAGTCCCCTCCGGCAGAGGCGGCATCGCAACATAAGAAGAAAGGCAGCTTCTTCAGGGAAGCAGACCTCGTCATCCAGGCATTCATCTAGATTGTCCCACTCTGGTAGATCGTCAAGGTGGTACATACCCTTATGCAGCGTCATCAACAGATGTTGGTGTGCCTGGTGCTGAAGCAGATGGTTCCAGCCCTTTAAGTCCTCCAGTGTTGCAGCCTGAGGTCTTCCTTGCAGCAGACAGCTTAAAGTCCTGAGATACTGTCAGCGCTCAGGTATGACATGCCGATCTACCCCTAGCAGTGATGCAGTTAGACTATCAGGTAATTGGAATCCCGGCAAGCAGTCTACCAAGCCGTTGCAGAGCCAGAGACAGCAGAAGTCAGGCTGGAACCCATTAGCATTTGCAAGCGCTATCAACGAGGCCGACAAATGAGTCAGTTGCAGTAGTCCGCAGCAGCATCCGATTACCAACGTGAGGTCCTCAATGCTGAAGACTTTGCTGATACCATCACCCGTAGGGTGATACAGGCGATGGAGATGAGATTAGACCGTGACATCACAGCCTGGCAGATGAGGGGCAGCATACTGAAGATGATGACCTAGTCTTCACTGAAGCTGAGGTGCTGGTGTGGGTGGCTGATGGTCTCCCGTTATCGCCCCCGTCCAAAGGCGCTAATCCTGCTGAGGCGTACTGTATGAAGGATGATGACTCTGAATGAATTACTATCCCGCCGATGAAGCCCATTGTCCAGGTATCAGACAACCTGAAATGCAGCCTTTGAGAAGGCTTCAAGACACAAAGGGCAACATACTCCGCGAGTTTAACCCTAGATGGTTCCGACATCACAACATGAGTCAATTCGACAAGGCTACAGAGGTTGATGAAGATTTCTACCTGGTCACTGACTTGAAGTCTTGCAGTTACAAGGTAGAAGACAAGAGATTAGGCGCAGCTTGATACGACAACCTGTAGGGCCTTTTACGGGTTAGCAAGGTCTAGAGCAATCAACGAGGCGCTGATGTACGCTTTCAAGAATCCTAAGACGGAGGAAGAAAAGATGATCCGGTCTACACTAGTTGTCCAGCGAGGATCAGGAGTTTATCTCCAATCACTTGGCTTCTACATCGGCAGGCATCACTCTTCTACATCGTCAAGGGTTGCTGAGTTCCTGTGCGTGGCCAGATGTCTACACCAAGCCTCTACTTAGGAAGCCTTAGGCAGTGCCTACTCTGTTTGGCCGGCATCCGGCAGTTGTCACCTGAAGTATCTCAAGACTCCAAAGACTTGATGTTGATCAAGTCGTACAGACGATCAACTCCATGGTGCGTCATTCAACTCAAGCTAGTCAACCATGATCCTGCTTCTCTGGTATACAGAGAACCAAAGAGAAGAAGTTCCCGACTACACGTGGCGGCAACACGGGATCCTTTTCATCGTCCCAGTAATACTAGAAGTTACTCAGGCTGAGGATGGACCTCTGGTGGCGCAGGACATCCCGTTACTGAAGGGCAGGTTCGAGCGACTGGTCGCGCTTCCACCCCAGCTGTTCCTGTAAAACCGTCATCCGTGGGTGGGCGTCTGGGTCTATACTGGGAAAATTGGAGAGTACTACAGGACGACTATGTCACAGAAGTCTTACAGAGGGCTACAGCATCCAATTACAGTCGACGCCATCGTTGACAGATCAACCGTTGGTCTTCAAGTATCCTCAGCTACAGCGGAGACAAGCTCACGAGGCTATGGAGATGTTGATGGCAAAAGGTGCTGGAGAGGTCGTCGATCAACGCAGACTCACGCCGGGTATTACTCTCAATTTTCCTAGTACCCAAAAGAACTCCAAGAGAAGTTCCGACTTATCTTCAATATGAAGAGCTTCAACAGAAATTACCTGTTGAGACCAGAGAAGACCAGCTGAGACATCTTATCCGACCTTATCCGACTTCTTCATGGCCAGCATAGATCTGCAAGATGCCTATCTACATATCCCGATACATCCAGAATCCGGAAGTACCCAATTCCTGTTCGGTCGTCATTACCAGTGGAAGGTCCTGCCTTTTGGAATTTCATCGGCCCGTGGTTAATTACGCGAATAACCAAACCGATTGTCGCTTATCTCCATCAGAGGGGGCCTATGAAGTGCCTTCTACCTAGACGACGGCATCCAGGCACATCAAGATGCAGATCTACTCAAACTACAGCTGCAGTTTACGATCAACCTGTTGACACAGTTGGGCTGGCTGGTGAATCATCAGAAGTCGGAGTTGGAACCAACCCAAGACCTACAGTTCCTAGGCATCAGATTCCTGGCGTTGGAAAATCGCATCCTGGTTCCAGACAACCCGATGGCAGAGCATCCAGTCGTGCATACCAGACGCCCTCAACACTCCACTAGACTTCAGTATGTGGCAGCTAATCTTGGGTCTACTGGCGTGGGCACATGCTCTCATCCGCAGAGGAAGATTGCAACTTTGTCCGCTACAGAGGTTCCTGATAGCTCATCTAGACAATGTTCAGAAGTTCGCCATCCCACAACGTCTAAAGAAATTCCTGCTTTGGTGGACAGTAAGGTCGAAGGTTTGCGGCAGAACCTATTTGAGAGATCCAAATTACAACAGACATCTCTACGTGGATCGTCCCTCCAAGGCTGGGGGTGCACATCTCAACGATGAAGTTACAGCAGGGCTGTGGTCAGAGAAGGGTCTGCACATCAATCAGCTAGAACTGAAAGCAGTAATAGAAGCAGTACTACATTGGGCGGTGCAGTTAAAAGATCAGGTACTGATGATACACACACAACTCCACTGTGGCCTTTTACATAAATCTGCAAGGGTCCACGAGATCAGTGCCTCTGCTTCAACTGACGTTCCAGCTATTCGACATTGCAGAGATGAAATCAACCTGAAGATGGGCTTGCCACATCCCAGGGGCAAGAAGCGTCCCTAGCAGGCGCTCTGTCCAGACCAGTGCGACGGCCGTCTCCCACAGAGTGGAAGTTACATCCGAGGCGTTCCAGTGGATAACATCCCAACTCGGCCGCCCTCTCATAGATCTGTTTGCAACCCGTTTCAACAATCAGGTGACAACGTTCGTCTTGCCTGTGCCAGACCCGCTGGCATGGGCTGTCGACGCCTTAGCAATATCATGGGAAGGAATGAAGGCTTACGCCTTCCCTCCACCGAATCCTACTACCACAAGTACTACGCCAGGATCAACCAGACGAGGGTCCTACAACTGACTTTGGTAGCGCCTTACTGGCCAGCGGACTATGGTTCCCAGACCTCATAGATCATCACGGCGAACCAGTACTACGACTCCCAGACTGGCCGAATCTACTCGTCCATCCTCACACCAAGCAGCATCACGGCAACCCAAAAGCGTTCCAGTTACACGTTATGGAGGATATCACATACTGCTTGAAGAGTCGAGGATACTGCACTAGAGCAGACCAGGCAGTAACCTTGGCTCTACGTGAATCTACGTAGATCTAACCTGTATGATGACAAGTGGAGAAGCTTTGAACAGTATGCTGTTCGACAAGGGTTCCACGGCAAGATGAGCGACTAATCCACAAGTAGCAGATGACTTGTGGCATTTGAGTCCACTAGACATCTGAAGGGTTCCAAATTGTCTACTTACCTTCCGGCAATCAGCTCTGTCATCACCATGGTCATCACCATGAGGGGGTGAAGTTGACCAAGGTGCCCTGAACTTTCAAGTGAGAAGATCAACAACAGAAGTTCAGGGCACCAGCTTGGGACCTCAACATAGTACTACAGCACCTCATCAGTGAGGTATATGAGCCGCTGACACAGATGACATTTGAGTTATTAACTCAAAAGGCGATATTCCTCCTTGCCTTGGCTACTGCAGCTCGGATGTCAGAGATACACCCTTGACTTCAACCGCACGCGAGTCGACACGGGGAAGAAGGGTAGCAGTCCATCTAGGCCTTAGATGGGACTTTATAGCCAAGAACCAGCTACCGGGACAACCGGATCGTCAATTCCACGTCGGCATTATCAACCATCCTGGGTCCACAGGACTCTCAAGATCTATCTTTATTCCCGGTCAGAGCGCTGAAAATCTACTTGGAGAGATCTGATATGAGAAGGAGGAAGTTCAAGCGTCTATTTATCCCGCTATCACCCGCTACGACGGTAGAAGTCTCGCGTACTACGGTCTCCTTTTGGATCAGAGCGGTGATCCTAAGAGCCTACAAAGCAGCAGGGTTAGAGCCTCCAAGAGCATCTAACCCACATGAAGTAAGAGCGTTGGCCTCGACACTCGCCCTACATGGAAATTGCTCAATATCATCTATAATGGAAGGCTGCTTTTGGAAGTCAGACACTGTCTTCGCTAACCACTATCTGAGAGACATCTCCACGGAAGATGTATCTGGTATACATCGATTCGGCCCTCTAGTCATAAGCGCAGCAACTCACTATGCCGGCCAGATGATGAAGAATCTCACCCTTGTCATGCAGACTCGTTGATGCCAGGCAATTGTTCCATTGCCACCGGCTGAGAGTCCATGTTCCCCTATCTTACGAGATAAAACAGCATGAGTGATACATAGACTCAGTTATGGTAATGTTCTTGCCTTAACAGATGGGTCGCGATACCAGGTTCGGTAATGTTCTTGCCACAAACATATTGGGTCATTGCAGAATATCTAGACAAGGTGTCTAGTATACTGAATCCACAAAACCTAGGCATACTTCTAACACATTATGTATAAGCAGGTGGTCCCCAATTAGCATCGAGAAGATACTGAAGTTAGCAGAAAAGAAACTTCCCAGGGGTAAATCAAGCTGAACGCTGATGTGAATACAATCATGCAGGGAACTCCTGTAGGTGGCTGGACCACCACCTTTCCCTCGGATTCAGTAAGCAAATAATCATGAGTCAGGATAAGGAAAAATATGTAATTTTTATGGTAAAATTAATATTTTATACTTATCCTGACTCATGAGATGAAGCCCTCCCAACAGTCCCCCTCTCACCACCGCGGGTTTCCCTGTAGACCTGAGTGGGGCATATATCGAGAGAGAGTGAGGACCAAAGCATGGCAAGGTCATGTGCGGGTTTTGGCGGGGAAACCAAGGAAGGTAATTGAGGGTGAGTGATTTTATGCGTTAAGCTTCAAGGGAATTGAAAGGATTCAAGTTTCCACTTGACCGTTCGGAAGAGAGGATGAGAAAGCATATATTTTTCCTTATCAAAAAAAAATCATGAGTCAGGATAAGTATAAAATATTAATTTTATTATAAAAATTACATACTCTGCTGTAATTGTCATCACAGTGTTTTAACCTTAAAGTGACATTGTTATACATGATGAGGATTGGCATTCATTCATTCATTCATTCATTCATTCATTCATTCATTTTCTATTGTGGAACTTTGAATGTGAAAATCACATAACAGCATGTGCAATATATTTAGTATGCAATATGTATGCAATGTATCACTTCCTGTACAGCCCTACATTCTTCCCCGACAGGTATCTTTCACCTATGCATCCACGGTCAGGTATCATTCCTCCATCAGCAACAAATGGCACCTTTCCTGTGAACTCCAGTCCTTCCTCCAGAGGAGCTGGGAATCCGGGCGGTCAAGATGGAGCGTCCGCTCCAGCACCAAGGCGATCTCAGTCTCTCAACCTTTTCTTCAGCAAAGGTCAGAAAACATTTATCTGTGAAATTTCCAATAACCCCAATAATTTCAAAATCTCTATCATAGAAAAATCTCAGCAATATTCCAGCTATATGGCGGCAGCCTGTAGATATCGAGTCTGGACCAGACAATGCAGTGATCAACAGCATGAGCATTGATCTACGAAATTGGAATATGATGACATGTGTCAACCAAGTCGGCGAGTCTGACCACCCGATCCCCTTAGTCGACTCTTGCGACAAGCATGGGTTAATGAAGATCAATTCTATCCCGCGTTTAAACGGGTTTGCAGCAGGTATGGGATTTCAGGTATGGGAATGGGAGTGTCCTTCAGTAGTAGTAACATTTTTAGCAAGTTTATGATCTTGTATCTATAAAGGAATAAAATGTATGATGAACCATATCGTTGTATGAAGACTGGTGCACCAGGGTGTAAACTCTTGTAGTTGTGGGTTAGAGAGCATTGTTCGACAAGCATAGAAGCGTGATGGAGGAATGCTGAATGACTTCTCTTGTTTCAGTTGGGAGGACAGGATTTCACAAACTCCAGAAGTTGTGCACCATGCTGGAAGTGACCAAGGATGTGGTGAGTAGGCATCTCCGAGAATAGGTGTAGGTTCCGATTGAGTAGGCGCAACCTCTCTGTTAGAATTGCCAGTGTAGGTTCCGATTGAGTAGGCACAACCTCTCTGTTAGAATTCTCAGTGTACGCCCCAAGTGAGTAGGTGCAACCTCTCTGTTAGAATTCCCTGTGTAGGTTCCGATTGAGTGAGGGCAACCTCTCTGTTAGAATTGCCAGTGTAGGTTCGATTGAGTAGGTGCAACCTCTCTCTGTTAGAATTGCCAGTGTAGGTTTCGATTGAGTGAGCAACCCTCTCTGTTAGAATTGCCAGTGTAGGTTCGATTGAGTAGGCAACCTCTCTGTTAGAATTGCCAGTGTAGGTTCGATTGAGTGGTGCAACCTCTCTGTTAGAATTGCCAGTGTAGGTTCCAAGTGAGAAGGCACAACCTATCTCATAGAATTCTCCAGTGTATTTCGATCCCAAGTGAGAAGGCACAACCTATCTCATAGAATTCTCTGTGTTGCCACGTTCCCCAGTGAGTAGGGGCACAACCTATCTCATAGAATTCTCAGTGTATGGTCCCAAGTGAGTAGGCACAACCTATCTCATAGAATTCTCAGTGTCACGTTCCCAAGTGAGTAGGCACAACCTATCTCCTAGAATTCTCAGTGTATCGTTCCCCAGTGAGTAGGCACAACCTATCTCCTAGAATTCTCAGTGTACTGTCCCAAGTGAGTAGGCACAACCTATCTCCTAGAATTCTCAGTGTACGTCCCAAGTGAGTAGGCACAACCTATCTCATAGAATTCTCAGTGTACAACCTCCCAGAGTGAGTAGGCACAACCTATCTCATAGAATTCCTCAGTGTAAGTCCCAGAGTGAGTAGGGCACAACCTATCTCCTAGAATTCTCAGTGCACATCCCAAGTGAGTGGGCACAACCTATCTCCTAGAATTCTCAGTGTGCGTCCCAAGTGAGTAGGGCACAACCTATCTCATAGAATTCTCAGTGTATCGTTCCCAGTGAGTAGGCACAACCTCTCTGTTAGAATTCCCAGTGTAGGTTCCGATTGAGTAGGCACAACCTATCTCCTAGAATTCTCAGTGTAGGTCCCAAGTGAGTAGGCACAACCTATCTCCTAGAATTCCCAGTGTAGGTCCCCAGTGAGTAGGCACAACCTATCTCCTAGAATTCCCAGTGTAGGTTCCCAGTGAGTAGGCACAACCTATCTGTTAGAATTCCCCAGTGTAGGTTTCCAAATCTCTCTCAGAATTCTCAGTGTACGTCCCAAGTGAGTAGGCACAACCTATCTCCTAGAATTCTCAGTGTATGTCCCAAGTGAGTAGGCACAACCTATCTCAGAATTCTCAGTGTACGTCCCAAGTGAGTAGGCACAACCTATCTCAGAATTCTCAGTGTAAGTGAGTAGGCAGGCATGACCCTTTCTCAGAATGGTCAGTGTATGTCCCAAGTTAGTAGGCTTACCTCACTTCTCCTAGAATTCTCAGTGTAGGTTCCCAATGAGTATACACAACCTACTTCACCCTGGTTAGAAGACATGACATGTTTCCTCATAGCAGAATTCCAAGTGTAGAATTGTGCTCTTGCCTATGTCCCTGTGCAGGTTGCCAGTAGCTACTGCTTGCTTGAAAGTCCCTATCATAATGTCCCATTGGACTGCCATGATTTTGAACTCAGTTAAAAGTTAAAATGTTTCCTTCAGCAACAAAAGATCTGGACATGTTTTGAATACTGCATCACTAACAAGCCAGCACTGATGAAAAACAGACACATCGACCAGGTTGGTGGTGACTTGATTTAATGCCTTTTTTCACAATTATACTTTATATGCAGTGTTCAATTTGGCCAGGATGATGGCTGGTTTTCAGTTTACCCATGAAGATCCAGGTTAGAATTGGTCTTTAGCAACCCATACTTGGTGTAAGAGGTGGACCCTTGAAGATCCATTTTAGAATTGGTCTTCAGTAACCCATGCTTGTCGTAAGAGGCAACTATTGGGATCCAGACTCTTGACTTGGTTGACACATGTCTTCCCTATTATGTAATCGATGCTCATGCTGTTGCTCACTGGATTGTGTGGTCCAGACTTGATTATTTACAGACCATCACCTATGGGGAATATTGCTGTGTGGTCAATCAATCAATCAATCAATCAATCCAAAGGGTGACTAATGGGATCGAATCAAGATCACTGACTTGGTTGACCGAATGTCATCATTATCCCTTGGGCTATAGATCAATGCTCATGCTGTTGATCACTGGTTTGTCTGGTCCAGACAATAAGTGGGCATGGCATAAGATATATCTCACCTGACATCTGTCAAAGTTACCATATAAGCTCTAACAAGTACTGTGATGTGATAATAGTGTGGTTGGTGTTGTAGATCATGATGTGTTCGCTGTACGGGATCTGCAAGGTGGTTGAGAAGGAGATCAAGTTCAAGGCGATCGTCCACATGTACAGGAACTTAGCAAATGTGGATCAATCGGTAAAACACAACCACTGTCCCTGTGAGGTTCTTATACACCGACATGGCCTCACTATCATATTAATCTGTCCTTGTCATCAGCATTGTTATTCATATTATTTGGTTAATATCCACACAACGCGTTTTCGAGGGGTATTATTTTGGACTCCGTGCTTCCATATGTCCATCCATGAAAATTCGGTCTTTTCCTCGAACAGAACTCTAAAACCGTTCAAAGTTTCTTCACCAAATTTGGCACATAGATAGGTCTTTTGGTGAACTGGTGACTTTTGGTAGTTTTGGAATTTCTAAATAAAATATGTTTTGTGTTTCCATGGCAACAAGTTTTACTTTTGACTGAAATGGGTGTTAGTTTTCTTTTGGTGGTAGATGGTCTTTTTCTGGAGCAGAACTCTAAAACACATTCAGAGAGTTCTTCAGCCCTGGTGGTAAACTGGTACCGGTGCCTTTTAGCTGGTTTTGGATTTCGAATAAAATAATTTTTGCATTTCCATGGCAACAAGTTCTCCATTGACTGAAATTGGACTGAAATTTGTGCTGCTTTCCAGAGCAAAACTTTAAAATCCTTTCAGTACTGTAATTCCACTTTGTGGGTTTTCAACAGTATCACTGTATTTCTGTATCAGCATTACTGAGGTACATCAAAGCATGGAAGCACTCAGGCAGTCTGTTGTTGATACTAGCATGCTCGTATATTAGTAGATTACATATGTATGTTTTCATTAGAATAATGTCGAAAAATGTGACATTTGACATCATAACTAGTTGACATATTCCTGAAGAGTATTTTACCATTGCGGGGATATTGATGACTTTGTCTTCTTGTTTTAGAGATGTGTGAAGCTCATTTCTGGTGTCCCCTGCCGTGATGTTGGTGGAATATTGCTAAAAGCGTAAAACTAAACTCAGTCAGTCAGTCTTGTTTTAGACTTGAGATTGTTGTTTTCTCTGCTGTAGGTTTACAAGAGTGCCTTCATACACTTGACGTGAGATTACGTCTGTTGTTTTGTCTGCTCTAGGTTTACAAGAGTGCCTTCATACACTTGACGTGAGATTACGTCTGTTGTTTTGTCTGCTCTAGGTGTACAAGAGTGCCTTCATACACTTGACGTGAGATTACGTCTGTTGTTTTGTCTGCTCTAGGTGTACAAGAGCCTTCATACAATTGACTTGAGATTACGCCTGTTGTTTTGTCTGCTCCTGAAGGTACAAGAGTGCCTTCATACACTTGACATGAGATTACGCGTCAGTTGTTTTGTCTGCTCTAGGTGTACAAGAGTGCCTTCATACCCTTTACGTGAGATTACATCTGTTGTTTTGTCTGCTCTAGGTGTACAAGAGTGCCTTCATACATGGGAGTGAGTTCGACTCTATCATCGGATTCTACAACAAAGTTTTCATGCAGAATATGAAGACCTACATTCTTCAGTTCTCAGTCAACAGGCCCATGGTAAGTCGCTGCAGTGGTCCGACTTGCTGATCTTCAGCAACCCATGCTTGTTGCTTTGTGGAGGTCAGTAAAATGTCATCTTTGGGGTTACACCTTCTCAGTAAAGTGCTGGTTCAATCTTGGGCCTTTCAGGAAGAGTTTCTCTGTGGGTACTTTAGTGTCTTATGCTGAAGTTTTAATCTCGGATGGGACTCGATTCAAAGTAGTTCAGTATTTTACTGAGAAAGTGTACTCCAAAATAAAACATAAGTTACATTTGACCAAATGGCATTCCATGTAGGTTTGAATTAGTAGTGTCTTCAGCAGCCTAGACTAACATCTTGACAGTGAGATCTTCATCATCATTTTGGCAACCAAGTTTCTTCTTTGAGAGGCATTTTAGAAGTTGTGAAGATGAAGGAAAACTGATTTCTATGGATAGTCAACTTCTTTATTTATTATTTCATCTCGTCAGCCTATCACAACCTAATCAAAGACCACCACCAGTAATCCTTCCCTACCTCCTTTGTCCATCTGGCTTCCATGCTCCCTCCTTTGTGCTTGTAATCACAACTATTGTATCGTCCAACTCATCAATTGTATAAACTCAACTCTAATCACAATCAATCACTCTGTACATCAACCTCCTCTGCTGTAATCACTTATCAAATATCCAATGTACATCAACCTTGTTAATTGTATATACTCACTATGCAGCTATGTATATATTCTCCTTGCTTCAGTTGTTGTATCACTTGCTTGATAACGGTGTTAGTACATACACCGAAGCGTCGCACTCATTGCAATAAAGAAGTTGACTATCCATAGAAATCAGTTTTCCTTCAACCAAGTTTCTTGTCAAATAAAGTAGTCGGGTATCTGGCGTGCTGCCTTGTTTGATGCTAATCATTTTAGCCCATCACATGCTGATACTCATAATGTAAATCACTGGATTGTCTGGTCCAAACTCAATTATTTACAGACAACTGTCACATAGCTGGAAAAATTGCCAAGTGCATTATTACACAACAAATAAAGTCCAGTTGACATGCATGGAAACCCATTTCAAGAGGTCAGACTTCTGTGAAAGTTTTTTTCATGGCTTGTCATTGTGCACAGACATTGTGCTCATGTAGGTGATGATGTTGCTGCTGATGGTGATATAGATGATGATGGTGATGATATAGATGATGATGGTGATGATATAGATGATGATATGGAGCATTCACTCAATCACTGATAAATCGGTGGTTTGTGTCAGTCATGATTAAGCCTAACTTTCAGTGATTTCGGTCAGGGAATTAAATACTTTTGTCTGTCACCAGCCTTTAAAGCTGCTCCCAGACTCACCTTGTTCATGTCAATCTGACCATTGTTTGTATTTTCAGGCTCCGACACTATCTCCAGTTCCAAAGCAGATGATGTCACCCCGCACTGCCTCCCAGCATTACAGGTAGGTAGGGGGTTGTCCTGTGTGTGTCGGGGGCGTGTAATTTATAGCAAGGGTGGTGGGTATGAACTAGGGCTGGGACTGGTCCAAATTTCTTACCTGGGAACCTGACCCCCTATTACCCGACCCGACCCGGGTACCCGTTATACCGATTATAACACTACAGGGATAGAAATACTTTTTTTCTAAGTGTGCCTTAGAAGTGTGCCCACATTTCTTTTTCAGAAGAAGTCCTCCTTGGGGTACATATAAGCATTAAAATGTCCATTTTAAAAAACCTACGACAGTTGTAACAATATTTCAATAAAATATTTTTACCAAACAAAAACTTCGTTATGTTTAGTGAGACCATCCCTATAGGGCCCCTCACAGGGCCCCCTACAGCCAAGAGCAGGTAACTCACATGTTTTCAGAATAGATGACTGTAGCAATGATGATGATCATGAAATTTGTTGTACAAATGTAACCTGTTTTCTGTTATCACTGATATGTCTTCTGTTTAAAATGGTTTTCTTAAGCTTCATTTGTTCTGCTGTCCCAGCACCTTTAATAGCTAAGAATTGTGGGACAGGTTATCTTGTTCAATATATCTAACATACACAATTTCCTCTTCAATAACCAAACTATCAGTACTCCCAAAACTCTTAATGGAAAAACAACCAGATTTCTTTACATCATCCATCATAGTTCCAGTGATTTCCTGGGCGGTAAAGTTAATAAATGTTTTTGCTTGTTTGTCATTTGGCGCAAGTGTTTTGAATTGGGGATTAAATGACTAAAGGTGAGGTATGTCTAAAAAGAATTAGGCGTGCCATAAGGGCACCAAAACATCAGAACAGCAAACATCCCTCCATAACAAATAAGGAGCTACAAGCAACTGCCAATTAATTAGGGCTGTAACGATGCATCAAACTATCGATGCATTCAATTGTTGAGACTCTGATAGCGATTTATCGATGGTAGAAACGTAAAGCTATTATTTTTCCTTATCCTGACTCATGTATTATTGCTTGTCTCCTTCCTTTCCCGAACGTTAGTGGAACACTTGTATCTCCTTTTTGAAGCTCCCTTTAAAAAAAAGCAGACGTAAAATCACTACTCACCACGAGTTGTGTCCCTCTGGTTTTGGCGGGAAAACGGCGCCACCCGTCTTCCCATGCTTCACTCTCTCCTTCTTCGCCCTAGTGGACGGTTGGGAGAGCGCCTGTGTCTCCAATACGGCACTATATCCTTTGATTAATTAGTTATTTCCCTATAAGTTACCTTTATAAGGCTTTAGGGAGTATCCTTCTACAATATGGTTTGAAATTTATTCGTAATTTGACTGTTTATTCACGGTTTTTACGTGATTGTTCAGTTGTTTACATTTCATGAAAACCTGTTTTAGATTATGGTTTAGGTTATCTGCTGCAGACCATTTTACTGTGCCCCAGTTGCACAACAATATGTACTTCCAGCTCTCGCTGTAACTTATGTCAGCAATTTACACAAATTCAATTTAATAATTATTATTTCTCTGTACTTAGGTGTGCTAAGGATAAATCCAGATGACTTTTGCAAGTCATGGATAAACCGGCTGAGTCCCTCAAGAGCTGTCCATCATTGTCAGACGACATACTTCCATCCAGTGACCTGCCGGAGGCGTCCTCTGAAGATGGGCGTGGGATGTTGTCCGCCATTACACCGAAGAAAGGTCTTCTACATCGGAAAAACTCCTCAACCCATAATGAAGAAGAAGAGGCCATCTTCGTCGCAGAAGAAGCCTCTTACACCCTAAGATTTCAAGCAGCTCTCGGGGAGTTCTTCGCAGATTACGAGGACTTTTAGCGAAATCGTCCCGATGGAAGAGAGAGGACTTTATGATGAGCCGCTGCTGATCATCCCACAGATACAGCATAAGAAAAGGAAGCAGGCGTCCAGCAACGGTAGCGCCAGCAGCCCTATCTACGCCAGTCCGAGTTACCTTCTACACTGACAGCAGAGATCCATGAGGCACAGCGATCCCTGGACCATATCGCTACCATCTCAGATCGACATCACTACAATCGCCGCAGACATTCAACCCTGGGGCCTTCATGCAGCAATTCTCTCAACAGATGATGGAGATGATGGAAGCCCGGCGCAGGGAAAGAGCCACGCATGATGGACAGCCAGGCGTCTCTCATGCTCAAGTCATCAACCTCAGAGAGGATCCAGACCTGCACGAATCGAATTCCCACACTGATGATACATCTGAGAGGCCCACCAGAGAATCTAGCTCTAGGACGAAGAGCAGATCTACGCTTCATGGCGTCCAGCAAACCTGCGCCAAGAGGGCGGCATGCTCTTCAGAACCAATGAGATCGTCATCGGATGATGAGGGCTAATAAAGAACCTTCACGCAGGCTGACCCGCTTCATGAGAGAAAGAAACCTACACCACCTAGAAGGTCGAGAGAGGCCTCGGGACTCATACCCTCAACAAAATCTCTCACCTGCCGGCGAAGGTTATCTGAATTATCTTCAACAGCGTCAACAACAAGATCGCCCGGAAGGCAATCCCGGACTAGAAGACTCTCACCTACACGCAGGTCGCCTTTACAGATCGCCTCTTAGAACTTTTACACGTAGTTCAACATGCTCATCCCCGTAATGTGATCGCCACGTAGATCGCCACGCAGAATCCCCACACAGATCCCCAACAAAGGATGGTCAACGATCTCTTATACCAGTGGACATGATACAGAGGGCGATGGCGGTATCATATTTTTCGGACTCAGAGATAAAATAATGGATGGCTAATGGACTGGACCTAAGCGTCACCCTCTCTAAGGAAGAGAATGAAGCACTCACGTACCTAATGAAGGGCGATGATGTGGCTACACGATCACTCTACCTCCAATTGATCCCATCTCGAAGTACCAGAGGATTTAGATGCAGCCTTCAGGAAGGCAACGGTTCCAGGCTCCTAATATCCCACAGTTCAATGCAAAGAAGTTCTCACTATACAACATGGACCCGCTCATGAAGGCACAAAAGATAGATGAGAACTATAAAATCATCAACGCCTCCCGGACCAAATCTTACAAGATTGATGACAAAAAGCTGGCACAGATAGACACTATGACCAGAAGGATGTTCTTCGACTTAAAAGATCCAGGGCAGTTAATGAGACGCTAATCACCAAGTTTAAGAACTCTACTGCAGAGGAAGACCGGATGATTTATTCTGCCCTACTAACGCAGAAAAAGGACCACCAATTTATGTTGGAGCATCTATCATCCATATCAGCAGCATTGACGCTAGCTAGAAGACAAGGACTATTGTCATCATGCAACTGGAGTGAACGCTTCACTAAGATCGCTGTACAGAGCTCCATGGTCTACAACATCCATCTTAGCGTAGGGGAGATTGACAAGGTCGCCAAGGGAGTCACAAAGGAATCTAGAGAAGTCTTGATCAAGTCCATTGATACACTAGCCAGTGTCATCAGACAGATGTCCTAACTACTCTGGCAAATCCAAATTTGCAGGCATCCAGAAATCAAGAGAAAAGAAATGGGGACCTCCAAAGGAGGAAAGGGATTCTTTCGGTCACGCCCATCCGCAACTATAGAGGACTACCTGGACGCAGGCAGGGCACCCAGAGGCTATAGACGATGAAAGATTGGGTTCGAAACGACTGGAGTCTTCCACCCCAGCCGCTCCTCGCTCAACTTCTTTCCAAGTTGGTGGACGCCTACAACGCTACTGGGAGAACTGGGAAATTCTTCAAGATCCATTTGTATCCAACATCCTAAGAGACGGATATCACATACAACTACAAGCAGCCCCCTCCATTAACAAACGCACCACAGAGGTTCAACTTTGCAACCCATCGGACAGAGAGGCTTACAAGAAGCGGTCACATCTCTACTAGAGAAGGACGCTTATAGAGGTGATAGACCAGGACCAGATCTCACCAGGATTCTACTCCCCAGTTTTCCTCGCACTCAAAGAAAAACTCCAAAGAAAAGTTCCGACTAATTTACAACATGAGGACATTCAACAGAGATTATCTACGCAAAACCAGCAAAGTTCAGCATGATTCATCTACCACAACTACTACATCGTCTCGTCCGTCCGTTGGACCACATGGCCAGCATAGATCTACAGGACGATACCTGCATATTCCTATACATCTGGAATCAAGGAAGTACCTGAGATTCGTACTAGACGGATCTACACTACCAATGGAAATTCCTGCCATTTTGAATATCATCGGCCCCTGGTTGTTTACAAGGTAGCCGAAGCCCATAGTCACATACCTACATCATCGAGGTTCTACGAGTGCTTCTACCTAGACGATGGGATTCAAGCTCATCAAGATCCCAGTCATCTCAGACTTCAACTACACTTCACCATCAGGCTTCTCACTCAACTAGGGTGGCTAGTGAATCTCCTCAAGTCGGAACTAGAGCCTACACAGGACCTGCAGTTCCTAGGAATTCGGCTCATCACAACAGAAAACCGCATAGCGGTTCCAGAGGACCGTTGGCTGAAGATACAACACATGGTATCTCAAGCTCTACTCTCTCATTGGCCACTCTTTTACAGTGGCAGAGTCTGTTGGGTCTCCCTCCGTCAGCACAAGATATGTCGCGAGAGGGAGATTACAACTACGCCCACTACAGGTCTTCGTGAATGTACATCTGGACGATCAGGACCCCTTCGGACTCCCGGACAGACTAAAACCATATCTACTATGGTGGACTCAGAGATCGAATGTTTGCGGAGGCACCTACTTAGCAGAGCCTGAGTGCAAGACGCATCTCTATGTGGGCGATCTCTCAAGGTTGGGGAGCACACCTCGACAACAAAGTATCAGCTGGGAAATGGACAATAGAGGAGAAAGATCTGCACATCAACATGCTGGAAATGAAAGCAGTGATAAACGCCATACTCCACTGGACCAGCATTTTAAAGAATGCACATCTAACGGTACACACGGACAACTCCACAGTGGCGTTCTACATAAACAGACAAGGATCAACAAGGTGGGCTTAACCTTCTGAACCTCTGCTTTCAACTGTTCAGCATAATAGACAATCTGAACATCCATTATAAGCATGCCACATTCCAGGAGCCAAGAATGTGATAGCAGACGCACTATCTCGTCCAACTCAGCCATCCCCAACAGAATGGATGCTACATCCAGAGATCTTCAAACAGATCATACAAGAGATAGGAGCGCCACTAATAGACTTATTTGCCACAAGATTCAACAATCAACTGGTAACATTAGGTCTCTCCAATACCAGATCCACGAAAGCATGGGCAACAGATGCTCTAAGCATCTCTTAGGGAAGGACTAACGCCTTACGCTGTTCCAACACCAGCTCTAATACCGAAAGTGTTGCAGAAAATCATACAGGCGAGGAACCTGGTAACTGATTTTGGTGGATGCCTTACTGGCCAGCGAGGAATATGGTTCCCCATTCTCATACAAGAACTAGGACCGCCTCAACTGCAACTACCAGAGAGGACGAACTTGCTAGTACATCCGCACACCAAGCAAGCACACGGCAACCCACAGGTGTTCCGGCTACACGCGTGGAGCGTATCAAGGCGTGCTTGAATAAGAGAGGATATTCCGCCAGAGCAGTGAAAGCAGTCACGCTAGCTTTACGCAAGTCAACACGCAACTTGTACGACGACAAATGGCGAAGCTTCGAGACCTACGCTTTGAAAACAGGCTTCACAGCCATAAAAGCGACACACCCTCAAGTGGCGGACTATCTTTGTCACCTAAGACAAACGAAGCGGTTAAAAGGGTCAACACTCTCAACATAACTAGCGGCATTGAGCTCAGTTATCACTATGAGGACGAGTGTAAAACTGACTAAGGTACCAGAGTTACTGGCCTTACTACGCTCTTTTAAACTGGAGGACCAACAACAGAGATTTAAAGCTCCGGCGTGGGACCTCAACATAGTTCTGAGCATCTCACCAGTGACGCTTATGAACCATTAGATAGGACATCTTTTGAGTTCTTGACGAGAAAAACTCTATTCCTGATCGCCTTTAGCAACAGCAGCAAGGATGTCAGAAATACATGCTCTGGACTTTGAGAGGACACGATTTGATGAAAATCAAAACATCGTGCATATGGGACTGAGATAGGACTTTATAGCAATGAATCAACTGCCAGGTCAACCCGACAGACAATTCCACATCCCAGCACTATCATCAGTCCTTGGGCCACAGGATACACAGGACCTATCCTTATGCCCAGTAAGAGCATTAAAAGTCTACCTACAAAGGTCTAGGACCAGGAGACGAAAATTCAAGCGCTCTTTTCATCCCTATATCGACAGCGACACAGACGGAGATCTCTCGCTACTCTGATATCAATATGGATGAGAACTGTCATACTACTGGGCCTACAAAGCAGCAGGACTTGATCCTCCAAGAGCCTCCAATCCACATTGGAGCTCTAATACACCAGCTCTAATACCGAAAGTGTTGCAGAAAATCATACAGACGAGGAACCTGCAACTGATTTTGGTCGCGCCTTACTGGCCAGCGAGAATATGGTTCCCCATTCTCATACAAGAACTAGGACCGCCTCAACTGCAACTACCAGAGAGGACGAACTTGCTAGTACATCCGCACACCAAGCAAGCACACGGCAACCCACAGGTGTTCCGGCTACACGCGTGGAGCGTATCAAGGCGTGCTTGAATAAGAGAGGATATTCCGCCAGAGCAGTGAAAGCAGTCACGCTAGCTTTACGCAAGTCAACACGCAACTTGTACGACGACAAATGGCGAAGCTTCGAGACCTACGCTTTGAAAACAGGCTTCACAGCCATAAAAGCGACACACCCTCAAGTGGCGGACTATCTTTGTCACCTAAGACAAACGAAGCGGTTAAAAGGGTCAACACTCTCAACATAACTAGCGGCATTGAGCTCAGTTATCACTATGAGGACGAGTGTAAAACTGACTAAGGTACCAGAGTTACTGGCCTTACTACGCTCTTTTAAACTGGAGGACCAACAACAGAGATTTAAAGCTCCGGCGTGGGACCTCAACATAGTTCTGAGCATCTCACCAGTGACGCTTATGAACCATTAGATAGGACATCTTTTGAGTTCTTGACGCAGAAAACTCTATTCCTGATCGCCTTAGCAACAGCAGCAAGGATGTCGGAAATACATGCTCTAGACTTTGAGAGGACACGATTTGACGAAAAATCAAAACATCGTGCATATGGGACTGAGATAGGACTTTATAGCAAAGAATCAACTGCCAGGTCAACCGGACAGACAATTCCACATCCCAGCACTATCATCAGTCCTTGGGCCACAGGATACACAGGACTCCATCCTTATGCCCAGTAAGAGCATTAAAAGTCTACCTACAAAGGTCTAGGACCAGGAGACGAAAATTCAAGCGTCTTTTCATCCCTATATCGACAGCTTACACAGACGGAGATCTCTCGACTACGATATCAATATGGATGAGAACTGTCATACTACGGGCCTACAAAGCAGCAGGACTTGATCCTCCAAGAGCCTCCAATCCACATGAAATTAGAGCTCTGGCATCAACACTCGCTCTACATGGGAATTGCTCTATCACGACGATAATGGAGGGCTGCTTCTGGAAATGGGACATGGTGTTTGCCAACCACTACCTGAGAGACATTGCCACCGAGGACGCCTCTGGCATTCACCATTTCGGTCTAGCATAAGTGATAAGACCCAGTACTTGTAAGGACGCCTGCACATGACTTGCACAAGCCTAACCCAGGGTCGCTTCTCCACTTGATGCTTGCATCAAGAGATGGACTTGCAAAATCCACATAAAAATGTTAACAGAAGCAAGGACCAAAAGTTAACAATTGTGGTCCCCCCATCAGAGAAAGCTGGAAGCAAGGGTTACAGCAGCAGCAGAGCCTAGCAGTAAATTGAAGTCCTTCCAGGAAGTTCCCATAGGGGGGTATGCAAGACGTAAATCACTAATTGGAATCCAGAAGTGGCTTGTCCTACCACCAGATCCGACGGATTCTACAAGCAATAATACATGAGTCAAGATAAGGAAAAATATGTAATTTTCTGAGTAAAATTGATATTTTATACTTATCCTGACTCATGAGGTAAGCCCTCCCAACCTCCCCGCTAGGCACTTTGGATTTCCCTGTAAATCGGAGTGTCGGGCTAGCTATTCGGAGAGAGTGAAGCATGGGAAGACGGGTGCCGCCGTTTTCCCGCCAAAACCAGAGGGACACAACTCATGGTGAGTAGTGATTTTACGTCTGCTCTTTTGAAAGGGAGCTTCAAAAAGGAGATACAAGTGTTCCACTAACGTTCGGGAAAGGAAGGAGACAAGCAATAATAAATGAGTCAGGATAAGTATAAAATATCAATTTTACACAGAAAATTACATGATGCACATTTTCTAAAGGTAGGATTTCCAAGTAAATCCAGGCTGCAGCACCGATGTCTCCCCATATATGCTATAACCTCGAATCTCATTGCAAACCCCATTTTAATTTTATGTTCACCAGTATTCAGGGCAGGAAGAGGTTCTATGTGTCACCGCTGAAGGAGTCGCCATTCAAGTTGCCACCCTCACCGAGTCAGCTGACACCAAGGAGCAGTCTGCTATACAGTTTCGGGGAAGGTCTTGGAGTAAGTCACAAGCTCGTTGTTCATCTGAGTAAATAAACATTGATAATACTTAACAGTAAGTAGATCTGGCTATTTCAGATTGATAATCTGAAATATCTTGAAGGGAACAAATGCAAACATTTTCGACATAAATATTGTGTCATCGATAATATGTTACAAAAAACTGTTATTTAAACTCAAGGTGAGGTGAGGTGAAATTGGGTTTTACTTTGTGCTTGAGAATATTTCGCTCATATGACGACGTGCATGCGTGTGTATGTGTATGTGTGGCTGCTTGTACAAGCCCAGACTTAAGCTGGTTTTATAGTGCTAGCCCATTGAGATACCATACCACAGTGAAACATGAATACCCCACTCAGACACACTATACTGACTCCGAGCCGACCAATCCTTGTTGTACCCATTAATGCCGAGCGCCAGGCAGGGACCAACAAGTACCATCTTTTTACGTCTTTTGGTATGACGTGGTCGGGGATCGAACCCGCGGCCTTTCGCTCTCCGGACATATAGTAAGTTAAATTAAATCCTGAATTTGTCACCCAGGTATTGAGTTTGAAACATAGTTGTTGGCGAGTTTGTGTGTTGTTGTGCTTATAATGCTATGCGATGTTCTTGTTGTGTGTGTCTGACACTGACATGTTGTTCATGATGATGTTGTTGTTGTAGTCGTCCGAGAAGCTGAGGAACATCACAGAGAGTCTCTCCGCATACAAGCGACAGTCAGCGCCAAGAAGTCTGAAGCGCCTCCGCTTTGATCAGGTCTCAGCCGACGATGAACAGTATGTGTCCTCACAGTAGGATTGTATTAGCCTCAGGGTTTCTCAGCACGTTGAGAAGTTGATTTATCTTAAAGGCTCTATATCACACCACACCTCTAAAGTACATCATGCATTTCTCTCAATAATACTAACTATCAGCCCTCGGGGAAGCTACCGTATTATTTATTACGGAAAATATTACGTAATTAGTTAAGAAATACAGTTCACTCTACCACCATGTATAGTGTAATAAAGCACACTTTCGCCCTGAACTATTATAGTTAAAGCACGAGGATGCTTGCGTTTATTACACTATACATGGTGGTAGAGCGAACTGTATTTCTTTTCTAAGATGCCAAATTTAATACTTTCTAAGGATAATTACGATTAATTTAAGGCAGAAAACAAACGACGGTGTCGGTGACCTAAATTAAGAATCCTCGCACAGGGCTAACTGGCTCGCTGTTCTATTGATGTGTCTGTCCCCCTACGTTAAGACGAACGTTACCAGAAAAAACCCAAATGATAAGAGTTTGATGACGGTTTACGTTTGGATTAAATATCTTCTCTGAATTATTTTAATTACATCTGTGATTAACGTAAACCATATGGGGCAATATGAACATCGCATTTCTACTACCAACATAAGTTTAGATCAGTGCATCCAGATGAAGCTGAGTAGTCAAGCGACATTCCACGATTGCATTGTGGGAATGTAAACATTGAGAATGTTACCGTGTCGCTGACAACTTGTGAGTTGAATTGAGACATTTTAACTGTCGTAAAACATAACTGTCATGTTTCCACCAGTGATGTTAGCTGCGTGAAGCAACTGCAAACCAAGAAACGGGATGCAACGGAGTAGTTTACTGTAGGAGGCTGTACGAGGCGATGATCGCTGCTTACATTGTGACGTAATGTAAAATGGTTCGATTACGAGGGGGCACACTAGAATGGCGCAGTGACGCCAATACATTGTGACGTAATGTAAAAAGTGCACATTATCGTCTGATAAAGTACTGTCGGCACCTTTGATCTTTCACCGGAGCATCTTAGAAATTACAATATTAAATTAAAAAGTTCGAATGAGTTAATGCAACATTACATTAAATGGACTCCCGCACCCTTTATCAGCTGAACATTATTTCAAGCAAACCCCATAGAGTTATGTCCCTTGGAGCTCTCTTTATGAATATCCTATAACCCAACTTGTGATTGAAACCAGTTCGGCAGACGCCGACAACACCGCGTGCGACAGTTTTCGATGTACGGAGCAAATGTTTACATTCCATATTTGGCAAGTGTTATCTGTTTTGAAGCTGTTCACGTCAAAGTTTCAATTATTGATTTCAGGCAAGTCGTAAGGGATAATAAATCTTTTATGGTATCAATAGGAAGCTAAAGTGAGTGTATATGCCCCTAATATATATAATCTAGGCCAAAATATTGTCGAAAATGTGTGACATTGTGTCTTTGAGAGACAACCAGTTGGATTGGGTGGGCCGTCTGGTTACTTGGTTTACAGCCTGACACATTATCAACCACTCACTCATGCTCCCAATATCAACCACTATGTCTCGTCCAGATTTGATTATATACAGCCTGCCATATAGCAGGAATATTCTGGAGTGTGTCATTAAGCAGTAGAGGTGAAATGGTACGCTCTTACCACGGTACGGTACGTATTGTGGTACAAGGCCTTCGGATTTGTCCGTTTCAGTTCGGTATATGAGATATAATCATAATCCAGAAAAGCAAAGAAATGGATCGACTTTGACAAAAATTGATTTCTACACATTTTAGAAAAGGTTTAAAACGGTTAATAAAGTCACGGTATGAAAACAGAAAATACCGAAGTTTTTGGATTGCATTATGGCATACGGAACCAAAGGCAAAATACCGTTTCACCCCTATAGAGCAGCACACAAACATCAGAAGATGATATTCGGTCCAAAGTCGGCAGCAAGTTCAGTAAAATGTCTTACATTGGAATTAAGGCATTCCCAAATCATAGTGTCATATCTAATGTGAAGCCATTTACAAGTCAACTTCTTTTAGTGATATTATGACCAACATAGAGGACACTTTATGATTTATTTACATCATTGATTGCAGTGTCAGTATTCAATGTAGACAGCTAATTTCAATTATCATCACTTATACTGTTCCCAAGAGATCAACTGATGGAACTCACTGAATTGCTGCTGAGGGGCGTTGGGGTAGCCTAGTGGTTAAGGCGTTGGCTCGTCACTTTGAAGACCCGGGTTCGATTCCCCACATGGGCACATTGTGTGAAGCCCATTTCTGGTGTCCCCCGCCGTGATATTGCTGGAATATTGCTAAAAGCGGCGTAAAACCATACTCACTCACTCACTCACTCACTCACTGAATTGCTGCATCATGTTACCCTGGAGGAGTGAGTTGGTGCTCATGTTGTCAGTCACTGGATTGTAGTGTTGGGAATTGGTTAAAATCTCATAATTGATGATTGGTTCATTACCACCGATCAAACATCGAAAATAATTGGTTAGCGTCATTTATGAAATTTGTTAAAGCACAAAAAAAAATAAAGAAAAAAACGTTATTTGGGGTGTTTTTGGCAAAAGTTCACATCTTTAAAGGATGACTAGTATGCTAGGAACATAAATTTTCTTGGTGTCTTTAAGATAAATTCAATCATGACTTGGAACGAGCTTGTAGTGCTTATGAAATGTAACAGACAAAACCAACCTTGTGAAAAATATTGTTGATAAAAACAAGTGTTCCTGAATTGTTTGTGTTTGATTATGAGAAAACATTATCGATTGCTTGGTCGTTTAGTCACTGCGACCAATCTTCGATTATTTCAATTAATCGAACCACCACTACTGGATTGTGTGGTCCATATACAGTGGACTCACTCTAATCCGACATTCCCTGTAAACTGACATATTTATTTGGACCCGAATTTGTCCCTATATAATATCATATAAGAAACTCCCTCTAATAAGATATCCCTCTGTTCCGAATTCTGACACTCAAATCTAGTCCCAAAACATGTTTTTAGTGCAAATTGACTCTCTCGAAACTGACATTGTAATTTCACAAGAGATTGCATCAGTCTACACGCTAGGGTGAGCGGGTGGCCTGCCAAGGCGTAATAGGATAAACTGTTAATTACTCACCAACTTCTAAAATGCAAATCAAATATATAATTACATGTTCAGTAGATTCATAGATTGGTGAAATCACATGTTAAGTGCTTGTTATGAGTTTCTAAAAACTCCCTCTAAACCGACATCCCTCTAAACCAACATTTCTCCTCGGTCCGGCGATGTCTGTGAGAAGAGGGAGACCACTGTAGTTGGAAAACAAACAGTGCCAGTGGGAAGAGAGATGGCACCATTACACACGAGAAAAAGGAGAGAGGGGATAGGTGTTCGGAATGCATGGTCCTAGCTGTGAACAATGTTCTCAATGAAGGATATATGATTCTGTATTTTATCAGGTGTGTCCCTGAAACTTGCCCTAAAGTTGTGAAGAGAATCGCCATGGATGTCTCTCCTCACAAGTCTCCAGCCCACAATTAGGTAAAACACTCGAGCAGCTCGAAAGTGATGATGATCATGATGAGTGAGTGAGTTTAGTTTCACGCTGTTTGCAATATTCCAGCAATATCACGGTAGGCGGACTCCAGAAATGGGCTTCACAGTTTGTACCCATGTGGGGAATCGAACCTGGGTCTTCGGGCGATGAGCTTAACGCTTTAGCCACTCAGGCTACCCCCAATCGCCATGATGATGATGATTATATTATTGATTCTGAACTACATACAGGTGTATGCTCTGGCTGTCAGCATGTACTTGATATTCATTATGAGCTCCCTTTGAGTATCCAACACACGCTCAGTGGAGTTCACAGTCACATTACAGTCTTTCCTCCTGGGAAGACTCTTTGTCAAGTTCGGGCGTGGGGTAGCCTAGTGGTTAAAGCGCTTGGCTCATTACCACCGGAAGGCCCGGTTCGATTCCTCCATGGGCACAATGTGTTAAGCCCATTTCTGGTGTCCCCCGGCGGATATTGTCTAAAAGCGGCGTGAAAACTAAACTCAGTCAATCAGTCTCTTTGTCAAGTTCAACCCTGCAAAGGTTAGAATTGGGTCTTCTGAGTTAGCCGTGCTTGTTGTAAGAGGCTAATTAACGGGATCAGTTGGTGAGACTTTTTGACTTTGTTGACACACGAAGTTTTGTTGGGCATAGATATTGCTGCCTTTATTATCTCCATTCAGAACTGCTTGTAAATGTTCATTTCTTGCAGTTAAGAAATCAGATCTGCTGATTAAAATGTTTCACTTCTTTGTTCAAAGAATATAGCAGATTTAGTGTTGATTGGCTGATTAGAAAAGTCAGGTGATGTGGATAATTTGAAGTGTTGTCAGATCTTCTATGCAGAGTATCATATAGGAGTAATAGAATTGATATTAATGAGACTTTATTTTGCAAAGCCTTTTCATTTCATTTCAGTAAAGAGCCCAAGAAGACGAATTGACGTAATCCCCGCTGACAAACTTCACAGCCTTAACTCTTCTTGTTTACTAAGAAAATGGAATTATTAAACTGTAGTGCTAGTTATTCAAATGGATTAATTATGTATAAAGGAAATTTTGTTTCAGAATAGTATTTTAATATTGAATTTTTTTAAGGTATAATGATGAATTTTAAATACTAGATAGTTATTTATTTTAAGGCTCTTACATGTTGTTAACAAAATTCAGATGTGTGTATTTGTTATAGTTGTTTTTAATTAATAACAGATTGCCAAAATATTTATGGAAAAACATTTGGTAGAATTGTACATTTTAAGTAAAATTTGTTTTATGTATTAAATAATGTTTTCAGCATGTTGAAAGGGAGTATACTACTGAACTGTGTTTTCTTTGAGGATTCCTTCGACTAATTCTGTACTTTTAAATGTAAATTTGACCGAATTCTTTAAGAATCATAGTTTGTTTGTTTTTTACAGATATATAATCTTTTTCTTGTAAAGAAATGAACTTTAATGAACAAACAGGCACATTGAAGTGATAAGTTACTGTAAAACATTAAAACTATCATTAATGCTTTTGTTGCAATACCCCTGTCGATTCCAGTACATAAATGACTAACTAGCTCCCATTCTTTAATTCACCTAAGCAATACTTCCTATGGAAATAGTTTGGGATGATCAATACACTTCACCTCTCACAAAGTAGAGCTTCTTATTGATTAAGGCACTTTGGTAGCCCTGCAGTCTTAAAGTGCTACAGTAAGAGGCTTACTAATGGGATCGGGTGGCAAGTCTCGCTGACTGGGTTGACATTATGTCATTGTATCCCAATTATGTAGATCGATGTTCATGCTGTTGATCACTGGATTGTCTGATCCAGATCAGGTTACAGAGTTGCTTCCCTTGGGAATGCCAGAAACACATCCATGGGTTCAAATCCATGTTTGCCCAAATTATTATGTCTGCATTAGAGCTACAGATAACTTTTTGGGTCATTGAGTTCTGTACTCGCTTGTGTTCATCTCAATTGGGTATCCTAATTTTCCTTTGAGGAACATAATAAACTGTACCCACCTCATTCAAACTCTATTGGGTATTTTGCCATTTTCCATTAATTTTATACATACAATATAGTTTAAATGTTAGTGTTTGTTATTTATATTTGATCTGTAATAAGAAAAACGATAAGAAAGACGTCAAGTTCATGTCCTGAAATAGAACCTCTCAATATACCTCAGTTATTTTATATGTCATTTTTTCTATCCACTGGTACTCAAGCTAAGATTTGACATTTTTGTGTGTACGCATGTAAGATCATATTTATTGAGTATTTACAAAAATTCAAGCGTACTTGTACTCAATAGATTTAAAAGGAATTGAGTTTTCACATAAGTATTTGTGCAATTTACGCAGATAAGCAGCTTATCTGTACCTCAGCTGCATAATATTCAGGTATGCTGCAGTTCTCAATACAAACGATATGTATTGCAGTATTTACTTCTGACAACCAGTACATTAGGTGAAAAATATGTATGACGTGATATTGGGTAAAATAATTGTGAATGTATGAAGTCAGATTGGGTAAAAATATTGTATGACATTTTGTGAGTAGCTCTATGGTTAAAGTAAAAATCTACAGACTTTCATTATCAATTGATCCCCCTTCGTAATTGACTGTTGACAAAAGAGAAAACTTTATATGCTAGAAATTGTATGAAAGGGAAGGTATACTGAAACAAATAAAGGATCATAGGAGAATTCAAGCATTCCTTTATTACTTTCCAGTTTTTATCATCACAGCTCTATTCAAAGCTGATGATGAAAACTGGAAAATATTAAACGAACGCTGGAATTTTCTTGTGACCCTTTATTTGTTTCACTCAGTATATAATCCTCAACACTCCAACCTAATTTTGAGATTGCTGTTACCAGAACCATAATAATTAGTTTTAGGGACTTAGCATGTAGAGATTTGGATCTACATGTACAATTAGTGGCCCTCACTGTCAAACAATTTGGCCCCCAATGTGTCGCAATACGTATCGCAATACAGGTACCTGAATCTCAATATATTGCAGTACAATGTATTTGCCGATACACAGCCCTACAAGTTATGTTTCTAGGTATGTCTGCACCATTCCCATGTGGTTCACTGAAGTGGTCAATATCCGAGACCTGCATCAAATAACGCATTCATCCCATGTTAACTCATATAATTCGAATACTGTTTAAAGTGCTTTAAGTGCAACTCACTTTTAATTGAGCAAAGCTTGAATACGAGTGAGTGGGTTTAGTTTTCGGCTTTTAGCAATTTTCCAGCAATATTACAGCGGGGACACCAGAAATGGGCCTTACACATTGAGCCCATGTGGGGAATCGAACCCGGTCCTCAGTGTGACGAGGGAATGCTCTACCCACCAGGCTACCCTACCACTCCTGAACTTGAATGTGATCGTGTTCTGTGATGGTAGATATGAGCTAGGATGTCAACAGTGTAAGACCTGCCCGGTCAGGTGTTAAATCTGATAAAACTTAATATTTTACCGATTAAAGACTAAACTCTCAATGTTATTAGTCTGTCCCTGTTTTTTCCCCTCCTGTCCTGAATTCTTAGCTTAAACAGTTTTTCCCACGGGAGATATTTTGGCCATGATGACACAAATACTCTTAACCTTGTAGACTCCTAAAACCCAGATCAGCATGATCTTTTTTCACCAACATAATATTTCATGTACTTAGTTGTTGCTGTCCAAGCTGAAATATTGCTGAGTGTTGCAGTGAATGAGTGAGTTTCATTTAAGCCATGGTAGTATTTCAGCCATATTGTGATTTGGTCAAGTTTTGCAGTTGCACAATTTTTTTAAAAACTATCAATAGACCGAATAAGTACAAGCAATATATCGCATATTTGTTGTATAACTAGTTAGGCCAGACCAATTTTATTTCTTGTTTTACAGATTTTTGTCCTCAGAAAACCTAAAGGCAGGAGGCAAAAAAAACAACAAAAAACTGTCAACCAAAATCCCACATGAGTTTCCATGTTTACAGTGAAGTCTTTTGGTTTGTTTATATCAACTAAAAATAAGTTGAGTGAGTGTTGGGTTTCACACTGATTTCAAGAGTATTTCACTTATATCACATTAACATTAGGATTGTATTTTTCTGAGCGGGGAAAATTAATTTCTATTTTTGTCTTATTCTTGATCCATAAAACAAGAAAGAAATGGGTCTGACCTTATAGAACATTCAAACTGAGTATTTGGCATGATGCAAATGGATGGGGCTACAGGGCGCCAGCAGCATAGGTAATGCCACCATACTAGGACCATGGGGTCTCACAGTACATGGTTCCCCAGACGGATTTTACACCTTTAGTGTCACTGGCTTAATAGACTTCAGTTCACTCTTTCTGAACGTATTCCATGTGTATTTGGTACTTTGTAAAATAATGATTAGATGAAGATGTAACTTGAATTGATATTTCTAAAACGATATAGTTTGTTGTTAGCCATTAATGCTATGTTTATTTAGACCAGTGAGTGTTTAAATGAAAAAGATCTTTGTGCAATAACAAGCAAATTTTACCAAAATCAATTACAGAACTATAAAACAAGGAATAAACTGACGATTTTTTATGTGAACAAAGTAATATTTTGTATTCCGATCGATATAACTTAAAGCGAAACCTGAAAGGAATTGTAATGATCTTAATGATCTGGGCCTAGATTTTCGAATCTCTCTTAGCGCTAAGATAGTCGTATGTGCCATACATTAACATTAACTTCCGACTATCTTGGCTCTAAGAGATTGGTGAAAAATGAATTCGTCATGGATTGGTATTCATTGGTAATGGAGAAACTTAGTGTGTACAAACTAGGGGTGAAACGGTATACCGCGGTATTAGTAGAACCATGGTATTTTGCCTTCGGTTCGGTATACCGTAATGCAATCCAAAAATTCGGCAGTTTTCGTACCGTCATTTTATTAACCTTCTTAACCTTTTCTAAAATATTTAGAAATCAAATCATTTTGTCAAAATCAATCCATTTCTTTGTTTTTCTTCATTATGATCGAACCGAAGGCCTTGTACCGCACTACGTACCCTACCCTGGTAGGAGCATACTGTTTCAACCCTGGTACAAACAAGTGTATTCGCAGGTGGTATGAAATCTGTCACACATTTAAATACAATTAAGTTTAAGTATTGACAGTGTGTACTCAGGATAATGGAGAAACCATTTAAACAAAACATTACACAATTCTGTGCAATCCCCATTTCTTTTGGAATGAGAAGATGGGCTTCTTTGTCTACAAACACAATTGGTTCTCCATCTTCATATACTTATGACCCTGGCGAGTGTGGCATTGCAGTAGGTGACCTGAAAAATGCAACCACCCAAAGGCAGTTATCAGTAATATGACCGGAAAATTGCAATCACCCACAGGCAGTTATCAGAAATATGACCTGAAAAATGCAACCACCCACAGGCAGTTATCAGAAATATGACCCGAAAATTGCAACCACCCACAGGCAGTTATCAGAAATATGACCTGAAAAATGCAACCACCCACAGGCAGTTATCACAAATATGACCTGAAAAATGCAACCACCCACAGGCAGTTATCAGAAATATGACCTGAAAATTGCAACCACCCACAGGCAGTTATCAGAAATATGACCGGAAAATTGCAACCACCCATAGGCAGTTATCAGAAATATGACCGGAAAATTGCAACCACCCTGGCAGTTATCAGAAATATGACCGGAAAATTGCAACCACCCATAGGCAGTTATCAGAAATATGACCCGAAAATTGCAACCACCCATAGGCAGTTATCAGAAGTATGACCTGAAAATTGGAACCACCCACAGGCAGTTATCAGAAGTATGACCCGAAAATTGCAACCACCCATAGGCAGTTATCAGAAGTATGACCTGAAAATTGCAACCACCCACAGGCAGTTATCAGTAATGTGACCTGAAAATTGCAACCACCCATAGGCAGTTATCAGAAGTATGACCTGAAAACTGCAACCACCCATAGGCAGTTATCAGTAATGTGACCTGAAAATTGCAACCACCCACAGGCAGTTATCAGTAATGTGACCTGAAAATTGCAACCACCCACAGGCAGTTATCAGAAGTATGACCCGAAAATTGCAACCACCCACAGGCAGTTATCAGAAATATGACCGGAAAATTGCAACCACCCACAGGCAGTTATCAGAAATATGACCGGAAAATTGCAACCACCCACAGGCAGTTATCAGTAATGTGACCTGAAAATTGCATCCACCCACAGGCAGTTATCAGTAATGTGACCTGAAAATTGCAACCACCCACAGGCAGTTATCAGAAGTATGACCCGAAAATTGCAACCACCCACAGGCAGTTATCAGAAGTATGACCCGAAAATTGCAACCACCCACAGGCAGTTATCAGAAATATGACCCGAAAATTGCAACCACCCACAGGCAGTTATCAGAAATATGACCTGAAAATTGCAACCACCCACAGGCAGTTATCAGAAGTATGACCTGAAAATCGCAACCACCCATAGGCAGTTATCAGAAATATGACTGGAAAATTGTAACCACCCATAGGCAGTTATCAGAAATATGACCGGAAAATTGCAACCACCCACAGGCAGTTATCAGTAATATGACCCGAAAATTGCAACCACCCATAGGCAGTTATCAGAAGTATGACCTGAAAATTGCAACCACCCACAGGCAGTTATCAGTAATGTGACCTGAAAATTGCAACCACCCACAGGCAGTTATCAGAAGTATGACTGGAAAATTGCAACCACCCACAGGCAGTTATCAGAAGTATGACTGAAAATTGCAACCACCCACAGGCAGTTATCAGAAATATGACCCGAAAATTGCAACCACCACCAGGCAGTTATCAGAAATATGACCCGAAAATTGCAACCACCCACAGGCAGTTATCAGAAGTATGACCTGAAAATTGGAACCACCCATAGGCAGTTATCAGAAGTATGACCCGAAAATTGCAACCACCCACAGGCAGTTATCAGAAATATGACCCGAAAATTACAACCACCCACAGGCAGTTATCAGAAATATGACCCGAAAATTGCAACCACCCACAGGCAGTTATCAGAAGTATGAGCTGAAAATTGCATCCACCCACAGGCAGTTATCAGAAATATGACCCGAAAATTGCAACCACCCAAAGGCAGTTATCAGAAATATGACCTGAAAATTGCAACCACCCACAGGCAGTTATCAGAAATATGACCCGTAAATTGCAACCACCCACAGGCAGTTATCAGAAATATGACCCGAAAATTGCAACCACCCACAGGCAGTTATCAGAAATATGACCCGAAAATTGCAACCACCCACAGGCAGTTATCAGAAGTATGACCTGAAAATTGCAACCACCCATAGGCAGTTATCAGAAATATGACCGGAAAATTGCAACCACCCATAGGCAGTTATCAGAAATATGACCGGAAAATTGCAACCACCCACAGGCAGTTATCAGTAATATGACCGGAAAATTGCAACCACCCATAGGCAGTTATCAGAAGTATGACCTGAAAATTGCAACCACCCACAGGCAGTTATCAGTAATGTGACCTGAAAATTGCAACCACCCACAGGCAGTTATCAGAAATATGACCTGAAAAATGCAACCACCCACAGGCAGTTATCAGAAGTATGACCCGAAAATTGCAACCACCCACAGGCAGTTATCAGAAATATGACCCGAAAATTGCAACCACCCACAGGCAGTTATCACAAATATGACCTGAAAATTGCAACCACCCACAGGCAGTTATCAGAAGTATGACCTGAAAATTGCAACCACCCATAGGCAGTTATCAGAAATATGACCCGAAAATTGCAACCACCACAGGCAGTTATCAGAAATATGACCCGAAAATTGCAACTACCCACAGGCAGTTATCAGAAATATGACCCGAAAATTGCAACCACCCACAGGCAGTTATCAGAAGTATGACCTGAAAATTGCAACCACCCACAGGCAGTTATCAGAAGTATGACCCGAAAATTGCAACCACCCACAGGCAGTTATCAGAAGTATGACCTGAAAATTGCAACCACCCATAGGCAGTTATCAGTAATGTGACCTGAAAATTGCAACCACCCACAGGCAGTTATCAGTAATGTGACCTGAAAATTGCAACCACCCACAGGCAGTTATCAGAAATATGACCCGAAAATTGCAACCACCCACAGGCAGTTATCAGAAGTATGACCTGAAAATTGCAACCACCCATAGGCAGTTATCAGAAATATGACCGGAAAATTGTAACCACCCATAGGCAGTTATCAGAAATATGACCGGAAAATTGCAACCACCCACAGGCAGTTATCAGTAATATGACCGGAAAATTGCAACCACCCATAGGCAGTTATCAGAAGTATGACCGGAAAATTGCAACCACCCACAGGCAGTTATCATTTATGTGACCTGAAAATTGCAACCACCCACAGGCAGTTATCAGAAGTATGACCGGAAAATTGCAACCACCCACAGGCAGTTATCAGAAGTATGACCCGAAAATTGCAACCACCCACAGGCAGTTATCAGAAATATGACCCGAAAATTGCAACCACCCACAGGCAGTTATCAGAAATATGACCCGAAAATTGCAACCACCCACAGGCAGTTATCAGAAGTATGACCTGAAAATTGCAACCACCCATAGGCAGTTATCAGAAGTATGACCCGAAAATTGCAACCACCCATAGGCAGTTATCACAAATATGACCTGAAAAATGCAACCACTCACAGGCAGTTATCACAAATATGACCTGAAAATTGCAACCACCCACAGGCAGTTATCAGAAGTATGACCTGAAAATTGCAACCACCCACAGGCAGTTATCAGAAATATGACCCGAAAATTGCAACCACCCACAGGCAGTTATCACAAATATGACCTGAAAAATGCAACCACTCACAGGCAGTTATCACAAATATGACCTGAAAATTGCAACCACCCACAGGCAGTTCTCAAAAAATTTCATCTTCACCTTTTCTGTGGGTAATATTTGTGTTATCTAGTTACCATTTTTCACTTTAACGAAAGGTTTGATGTAGTATTCATCATTTTATTGCATCTGAATTCAATAATGAAAAAAATTATGTGTTTTTCTTTATAAATAAAAAAGTTGTTGCAATATTGTAGTGATTAATTAGGTCCAACATCCAAAAATAATTCAATATTATTTAACATTAATGTAGCGGTTTAGATGAAGGAACAGTCAAATATATTTTGTTCAAGTTATATTATTGATGTTTTAAATATTTGAAATATGTTCCAGTTTATTTGTAAAAATGAAATTTTACTTTGTCATCTGTATGTAATGTCAAATAAAACTGATTTATCCTCATTTGATTTGTGTGATGAAACTGGTGTGATGGCAGAGTATAAATTTGATTTGCTTTCTGCCATGATATTGAAGAATGCTTTTGATTAGTTAAAATCGATATCTTTTTTTAATACTTAGCATTCCTCAGTATGAGTGTGAAGTCCATTTCTGGTGTCCCCATCGTGATATTGCTGGAATATTGCTAAAAGCTCACCCCTCAGTATGAGTGAGGTGCCCATTTGAGGAAATACGGTACGTTTGTGTTTGGTGTTTTGACATGTTCGAAGACGTATCTTATTCATACAAACAGCAGGGCTCCACATAATTATTTAGACTCAAGGGTATTTCACTCCTCAAAATTAAAATTGAGGAGTAAAATGCCAAATGGAATAAAAGGAGGAGTATTTCACTGATTGCATGGTTTTATTTACTTTTCCTTGCTATTTTAAACGAGTTTCTTTTGGTTAGTCATTCTTACTGCAGACGACAGGAAATAAATGATAATGCGCGTTCAGCATTTTGCATTAAATGTTTTCCTACGCTGGTTTAGGGCCATCACGTAATCTACAGCAGCCCTAAATTGTATTATTACTGATATTTATAACATATGTTCTATTTGGGATTACACTTTCTTAATAAAGTACAAATTCTAGTACTTTTGTTGGTTTGAGTCCCATCCGGGTTTCGAACCCATACTACTGATATTGGCTGGACACGTTGTGACAGTAACGCTGTTTAGGGCTAGCTTTTCAACAAAGCGTGCCCCGAACGTGAATTAGAAGTATTAAGGGAGCTCATTCGCAAAACTCGACAATCTTCGCTACAATATTTTGACAGGTTTGGTTCACGCATGTAAACAAAATCTTACTTGTATTCTGAGGAAGTAATGCGTATCTTTCACTCATTGATTTGACTTTTTATGAGTATATCTAAATTATTAATGCGTATTTTACGCAGATACGCATCTTATCTGAGAGCCCTGTTCAAACACTAAAGTGTTTATACATATAACTTGCTCGGACATGCTCAGTAATCTTCTTAAAAAACGACGCTATAGAGAATCTCACCCAAGTGTCCCACTGAAATCAATTATATCAACAGAGTTGATAAAGTTACAAATACCGGAGGCTTGCTGAGGATAGTTTTACTTTGTCAACGAGTGTTGATATATATTTGATATCAGAAGACACGAGGGTGAGATTCTATTTATCATCAAAAATCACTCTTCATTTGTTTTCAATGAACAGGTAGACTATCTGTACAGCCATTTGACTTGCTGTGCAACGATGTCATCGCATTGTAAAGTCACGAACTGCTAAAGAATACCACATGTTGCAAATATTTGTTGAAAATTGAATAGAAATACATGGGCGATGTATTCTATATGTTCCTCGTACGTCACAATGACGTCTGTGAACCACAATTACATTCATAGGCGGATCCGGGGTGTGTTGGTGGGTGGGTGGGTGGGTGGGGTGGTGCAGGTGTGCAGTTGTTAAATGACCATTGAAACTCGGGTAAAAATGAAGTGTGCACCCTCCCTTTTCTCAATAGTGTGCGCACACACACACACACACACACACACACACACACACACACACACACACACACACACACACACACACACACACACACACACACACACACACACACACACACACACACACACACACACACACACACACACACACCACACACCCGTCTCAAAAGCTGTATCCGCCCCTAATTTTCAGTGACATATTCACACATTCCGAAGAAGAAAATAAGTTTCATTTGACGAGGTCAGGCTGTCGGGAGCAGACTAGTCAAACAGGTTCTCTTGGTATGCTGCGCTTGCACACCGGAGACCGTAGCGCCTATATTTGTATTGACGATTGCAGCACCAGGTGGTCAAGTTTGTTGTCTTGGTCGAGGCGTGTCATCGTATCCGGGCCAATTGCCTTGACTGTTGATGCGCATGATGCCGGTCCCAGGATTGTTTGGCCAAGAATTAAGTTTTTCTCGGACTGAACATTTCGGTGTACGGCTTTCAACAATAAACGTGATATCTCTTTATAAACATGCATATTAATACTGACCTATATCAGCCATAAACTAGGCTATCACTAAGGCGAGTTGACAACATTAAAACATCCGCTTACAAAGACCAATCGTTTTTAATAGCCTTGGTTTAAGAAACAGTCTTGGGAGCAATTTATCAATGTATTCATTGCTGGGAGGGTACATGTGTAGTTCAAATATAACAGGCATAGAAATTTGTGGATCCTGTGTACCCGAATCTGTGCATTACGTAGTATGGTATATAAATATATTTGGCTTTCCCCATCAACGACAGATACTGCGCAGTATTTTACAGGGTTTGAACGACTTATGTTCTCTTATGAAAACCTATGTTCACATGTCACATCATATCTACAGAAAAGCTGATGTTCCTTCCCATTTCTTCCCGGAGTTCCGTCGTGAATAGATTCAGACATAGTGCAATGGGAAACGGGTCTTCGTAGAGCCAGGAGTTGATCTCTGTTTCCAATCATACTTTCTGTTCAGACAATGGCTACCCGTCCCTCGGAAGTACGCCGGAAAGATATCAAACGCGGGTGTACCACAACTCTTCAAAACAAAGAAGCAAAGCAAAAGCGATCCATGACTGAGAAAATGACAGTGAACGATAGATCAACGAGTGCCAGCTGTTGGACCCTGCCAATGATGTGTAAATACATCGACTTCAGGAGAGATGTGTTTCGTTGGTGGAGGCTTGACCACGTCGAAAAGGACTGGTCTACTTTTAAAAAGAACAGCATAAAGTCTATGCAAAATTACTACACCGGCATCAGCAGGATTACTATTGACAAAAGTACCCGAAGTATGACTGAAGCGGATGTTAAGCACGTCGTCTTCGGAATGATGAGTCCCCTGCTGGAAGAGCTTGGATTGACGATGAACGCCGAAGAGACGATTGATATGAGCTGCCTGCCATCCTGCAGGCTTGATTACGTTTTGAAAGTTGGTGGCATTCCTGTCGGCGCCATCGAAGTTAAATGCGCGGGCTCCTTCGACGAGAATGCCTACGCCCAGGCAGTTATTCAGCTGGTTGTCCTGCAGCAATGGGCGTATAAGAAGGGTCTTCATTTCGATGTGGATATGATTGAAGTGCCAATTGTTCACATCCTTACTGACGGAGATAGATTTGCATTGATGACGTTGGAAAGAGAAATGATATTTGTTCAAAAATCCAAGCCCAGGAAGGGTTCAATTCGTCAAGAACTTCTTGTTCGATCCATTTCAGATAGTTTTGCGAAGTTTACGAACAGCTCCAAGATGCATTGACTCCAGCAGTGTCCACACTGAGGCAACAGTTAAAATCCTATAAATTAGATGAGACGTATACACCTGCCGATGACGGTCAAGGAGGGGCTCCTGTGCAGGGAAAACCAAACAAAATCAGGTTGGTTGAGAGTAGTATCTGAGGGACCAACCGTCCTCTGTACTGGTCTGGAAGGATTGGTGTGGGGGTGGCTACTGGTAGGGAGTGGGGAGGGCGGGCACACTGTATAAATATACTGAACAGCATAAGAATCGCAATTTTCGAAAAGATTGAAATCTCAAAAATTAGCGTTTTTGTTTATGTCTTCTATTTAGAAACTTGAGAAAAGCCAGAGTTGCGTTTCTTTGATGTTCAGTATATAATACATATAATAATGAAGACTATGAGTCAACATATTACTTTCAAGCCAAGCTTCAGAAATGTGTTCTTTAGCTATCCTTTTATTCCAACCTACTCCCCAAGTCAATGACTGTGAAATGGCAATGATACACCACAATTGGGTACTATATTTGTGGTGCTTTGGCAACATTTACACAGTGTTTATGACTTGTAAATCATAATCAACATACTTGTCAAAATATCAACGTGTCTTCGTCTTCAAGTCTTCATATCTCAAGTTACAAGAAGACTAGTACTTGTGGAGATCTTTCTTACGCTGGATACTCAGTTTTGTTGAAATTGAAAGTTGAAAGATAACGATCAACTTCAACTTCTTGTCTTGAAATTTCAAGACCATTGTCTTCATATTTGTGGCATAATAGGGCCATATGGTTTTTTTCTTTAAATTACAATAGGGCCTATTATGCCACCGTATAAATGGCTTCTGTACAACTAAATACATAAAAACCCACATATTTCCTTTCAGTATAAATCCAGAAGTGAATGAATACACATGGCGGGCGTTTCTCTCCCCACTGAAGGAGAGGAAGAGGAAAAGAAAGAAGGCTGCTGGTGGATTTGTGGATGGCACAATTGAAGGACCAACATCCCTGTCACGAACATTCGCCACAAAACTTGGTGATATTTATTATTTGAAACCAAAGGCACGAATATCAGAGGGAGTGACACAATCAAACAAGAAAAACAAAGAGAGAACGGCACCAGTGACATCAGAGGATGGATTACTAAAAACTTTTGAAATTAGATGACGACAAAACTGAACACACGATCATGGGAACCAAGGCCCAAGTTCCCACAACAGCACTAAGAGTAGGAGCAGGCACTGTTCACTCAGTCATTCAAGTCAAGAACCTGGGGGTTAAGTTCTCCAACAAAATGTAAACAGAGCTACAAGCACTTTCGTTAGAATAGCAACGGTTCCCTTTCACAGAATTTGAGTCATACTGAGTTATCTATGCACATTATTACTCGGCATTGTGTATTCAAAATGATTTTAACTTTGGTATTTATGGAGTTTCAACACACAGTCATGTATGTTTCAGTATTTTCAATTGCGACCTTGTGTTGTTCATACTCTTGGATTGTCACAAAAAGAATGTTTAATTTAATAGGGAAGCCTTTTAGGGCCATGCTTTTATTATTTTTCTTGAAATGTCAAGATACTAGGTTGAAATTACAAGATAGATATTTAATTGAAAGTTCAAGAAACTGATCTTAAACTGTCAAGAGAAGAAGTTGAAATTTCAACTTGATATCTTGAAAAAATGTCCCTAAAAGGCTTCCGTAGTTAAGCTCATTTAGCTTCTATGTGTCTTCACATAATGAGATTATATTTCGATTAACTCAGGGTCTGTCTTTATGGACATGTAATGCTACTGACTGCATATCAGGTGAGCTCCAGTAACTATAGTAACGTTTTTCCGGCAATACAGACCCTGTAAATAATTATTCTTATTGTGAAAGGAACATTATTGTTATTGTCTTAGAGCATCCGGTGTTTTATATTAAGCTGGTTGTGAAAACAGGACGCCGGCAAGAGCATCCGGAGTTATATTTTGCTATTTTTGATAACAGTACGCCAGTAAGAGCACCCGGACTGATATATTGGGCTAGTTGTGATAACAGGACCCTATATCAGCACCCGGTGTCTTATAGTAATCTAATTATCATAACAGGATCATGTATTTACCACTATGTAAGGACCCTGTATCAGCACCCGGTGTCTTATAGTAATCTAATTATCATAACAGGATCACGTATTTACCACTATGTAAGGACCCTGTATCAGCACCCGGTGTCTTATAGTGATCTAATTATCATAACAGGATCATGTATTTACCACTATGTAAGGACCCTGTATCAGCACCCGGTGTCTTATAGTAATCTAATTATCATAACAGGATCATGTATTTACCACTATGTAAGGACCCTGTATCAGCACCCGGTGTCTTATAGTAATCTCATTATCATAACAGGATCATGTATTTATCACTATATAAGGACCCTGTATCAGCACCCGGTGTCTTGTAGTAATCTAATGATCATAACATGATCACGTATTTACCACTATGTAAGGACCCTGTATCAGCACCCGGTGTCTTATAGTGATCTAATTATCATAACAGGATCATGTATTTACCACTATGTAAGGACCCTGTATCAGCACCCGGTGTCTTATAGTGATCTAATTATCATAACAGGATCATGTATTTACCACTATGTAAGGACCCTGTATCAGCACCCGGTGTCTTATAGTGATCTAATTATCATAACAGGATCACGTATTTACCACTATGTAAGGACCCTGTATCAGCACCCGGTGTCTTATAGTGATCTAATTATCATAACAGGATCATGTATTTACCACTATGTAAGGACCCTGTATCAGCACCCGGTGTCTTATAGTGATCTAATTATCATAACAGGATCATGTATTTACCACTATGTAAGGACCCTGTATCAGCACCCGGTGTCTTATAGTAATCTAATTATCATAACAGGATCATGTATTTACCACTTAGTCTATGTAAGGACCCTGTATCAGTACCCGGTGTCTTGTAGTAATCTAATGATCATAACAGGACCATGTATATATCACTATATAAGGACCCTGTATCAGCACCCGGTGTCTTATAGTAATCTCATTATCATAACAGGATCATGTATTTACCACTTAGTCTATGTAAGGACCCTGTATCAGCACCCGGTGTCTTATAGTAATCTCATTATCATAACAGGATCATGTATTTATCACTATGTAAGGACCCTGTATCAGCACCCGGTGTCTTATAGTAATCTAATTATCATAACAGGATCATGTATTTACCACTTAGTCTATGTAAGGACCCTGTATCAGCACCCGGTGTCTTATAGTAATCTCATTATCATAACAGGATCATGTATTTATCACTATATAAGGACATTATCCGGAGTTTTATATTGATATTCAAATGACAACTTATGACCCTTGTCCAACCTTTGGAACATAAAGGTACATGCGGAAAGTCATATTTTCACCTTGTCACAAAACGTGTCGAATCAAACACAATAGTGCATACACCACAGAGAATGGATTTACTCATCTCATGTACTAACTGAACTTCTAACCAACATTAATTATGTTTACATACCGAGTAATTCAAGTTTGTTATATTTTGAAATGTTATAACCATGTTGATACATTTTAATAGTTTCTATACTTATTTCTCATACACTGTCTTAAATATCACGCACTTGTCACCAGTAGTCAAGTCAATTCAATTCAATTTCAGTTTCAAATTGAATTGAGTTGATCAGTAGTATCATGATGTGATATAACTTGTTAGGCACATACATTTTAAAACTTATCCTATCTCACGGTATACACCTCTCTTCTTCTTCTACGACCATGAGTGGAAACGTGCTGTAGGCTAAGTTGAATCAAATCTGACTGGCCTCTGACCCGCCCTGACCTCTGCCCCCACTCCGACATCAGCACCTGTCAATCATCTCCGTAAGCGTTCAGCTCGCTCAGATGATCATGTGACTACGTGTGCCTGTCATTCTCTTTCTTCTTGTCGGTACACCGAGTGGACGTGTGTTGTTCTCACAGTTAGACATTATTTGATTGTCAAGATGGGAAATAAATGGAATCAAAGTTCTACAAAGAAACGCAGACACTGTGATCAGTGCAACAGCAACTTTTCCGCTGCTGATCCACACGCTTTGTGTGTGGATTGTATAGGCTGTTGTAGTTGGTCACATCGGTGTTCTGTTTGTTCACGCTTCAATGATGATGTTTTTTTCTGAATATCGACGGGTTGCATCTAGACGTAGATTTTTTAGAGGTGGCCTCAAGACTCCTACTTGAGCGAGTATCTCCGTCGTCTCTTTCGTCATCAAACGTCTAGTCCCGTCTCCAGACAAGTTTTATCTGCTCCGAGAGTGGTACCTAGTGCTAACAACCTCTGTAGCACAGTCACGGCCTTTACCTTAGCAGATGGTTGTTTCCAGAGCGCCGCTTTGGTTGAGTGCTCCACCCCCCTCTGCTATGGTGGGTTCGCTTGGTGAAAGCATTCACTCTCATGTGGCGAGTGCAGTCAGTTCGGCGCTTTCAACCACAGGGATCAGTTCGGCGCTTCAACCTATGCGCCGCTTGCTTCCAATGCGGCGTTTTGTTCCAGTTCGGCGCTCTCATATATTTCTGTGGTGACATCAGCCATGACGGTAGCATCCAGTGCGGCCCTTTCAACACCTTTCCCGTACCTTGCAGGCGCATTCGATTGGATCAACACTTCAGCCCAGTGTGCCTTTTCGATTAGAACAACGATTCAACTTAGTGAAGTGTTGTTTGGTTGGAACACCTTTCAGTCCAGTACACCATTACTGTATGGTATGATGTTTAAGACAGAATGCACCGGTCCTGAACCAGATCACTTGACCCAACTTGATCACAGTTCCGAACCAGATCACCTAATCGATCCTGATCGCTGCACCATACCAGATCGCCGCTCCAACAGTATTCGCCGATCCGACAGTGTTCGCTGGACTGTCAGCTTTCGCCGAATCATCTGGTTCCCTCTATGCGCATACTGTCATCATGGTTTGTTTACTAGTTCGCACACTACGGTACCTACAGTGACTTTGTCTACTGCAGTTCTACTTCAACACTTTTTCCAACTTCGGCGTTGATACCTCATTTCTACAGTTTTTACCGGTGCTCAGCTTGGCTTCGGGGTTACGCTTCCTGCTTCTACGGTGTTTGTGAACAGACAGAGCGTTCACACCAGTACGCCGCTCTCTTATGTATCAACGCTTCCATCCAGTGCGACACTTTCTTATGTATCAACGCTTTCATCCAGTACGGCGCTTCCAGTTAGTGCATCGTTTCGGTTGGTTGCACAGAGGTAGTAGTTATGTCAGTAGCGCAGGCCTCTACATTACGGCGGTGATTGATGATCTCGGATTTTTAAGATTCCTCCGTCATCTACCATCCGATCTTCACCTTTCATGAATGATTCGATTCACCGAATCTATCTACCCTTCGACGTAGATATCAGCTCTACAACCACCCGGTTTGACATATTTGTCCAGAAACTTGACGATGATGTGAAAGGAAGGGTGCTGAGGCTTGCGAAACAAAACCGCGATTACACCCAGTGATACACCACACAGCTGCTACGAGTAGTCTGTATATATACTACCCATCAAATGTTTAGACTCACTTAAAGCACTCACTATATGTTATGAATATATATATGGTTACATCGAAGATGAATTTCTCCACTAACTGGGTGGAACCAACTGCAAAATTTATGTTGATGATGGCACGAGTATCATGCATCAAATTTCTGTAAACCATGTGCAAATATCGCGCATGTGAACAGCTGCATTTTGGTGTAAAGTTTTGTTTAGAATTCGCTAATTTTCACTGAGTTTCATCATTTACTGAACTCATGACAATAATCTTTTGAACGTTACGAATTCGTTTTACAATACACCAGTTCATGTGTAAACAGCACCTTCAAACAGTATGGAATATTTTGCAAAATCCAATTAGAACAGTTGACTGAAGTAAGTGGCTACATTTACACTAGTGAGTCTAAACTTTTGATGGGTAGTATAGTAACAAGACTCAGTGAAGCGTCGTACAATATTCCTGCATATCAAGCTGGTCTATTTATGCACAGTTTCTGCGCGTGGTACCAGTAGTGATGTTTGGTCAAGTAGCTAGCGTCACTTTACCCAGATTTTATGGGTTGGGACTCGCCTGGTTGATTGCCATCCGTGTTGCCGGGTTTTGTCGTTATTGCAGTAGCATTTGCAATGGCGGACTACTGTTTGTTTACCGGAGACTTTTGATGGGACATTGATTAGGAAGCAAACTGACAGACTTATTTTGGTCCCACGAAGCGGATACCTATCCCAGCCTTTAATTGCCAGTGATGATGAACGGTGCCATTCCCGGTAGGAGTGATTATGTCGAGTTTGTCAGTCAGCCGGGAGATACAGTTTACCGAGGGTGCCAGACAGAATCGCCGAGACGCTTTCACTTTGGCTGGGTTTACTCGTTTTTAGCTGAAGGCCTCAGTTCAGAGGTCACTGCAGCTATGTCTGGACTGTCCGTAGGCATCGATGTTACTACCTTCGCCTCTTTATCGAACGTGTCTGGAGTCATTGGTCTTTTTTACCTCTGCCATTCCATCAACTTTACCAATGTTCCGGTAGACTGACGATCCCATGCAACGTATCTACTAACTTTCTCACTCCATCTGGCGGACCAACACTTCATTTGGCAAACTATACGTTCCTACAATCACTGTTTATATGGCCTTCATCACTGTGTACAATGTGTACGTTCCCGACATCTCCATGCCACGAACCTCCTACATTCAGCACTTCTTCAGTGCTGTCATGGTAGCTTGGCTACTCGAACGTATCCTATCTCAGACGGCTGTTCTACGCTCCACAATCGACACTCTCCTTCAGAAACTTGCGATCGAGCCCTGGGCCTGGCTCCGACCGACCCGGGGTTCTATTTGCCAATCTTTCTGGTGCCAAAGAAAGATTCGGACAAGTTGAGACTAATTTTCAATATGAAGGTTTTCCATAAAATGTTTCTACAACCTCCGCCTCACTTTCGTATGGTGTCGGTGGCTCTTCTCAACAATCATCAAGCCGGGAGACTACATGGTCAGTCTCGATCTCCAGGATGAGTACCTTCACATCCCGATTTTTCCGGCTCTTCGCAAGTTCCTTCGGTTTGTCTTCGAGGGCACCCACTATCAGTGGCGTGTCCTCCCGATCATGCCCTTCTGCTTCGTCACATGCAGTTTGCGATACAGCTTCTTCGCCAATTAGGCTGGTTAATCAATCTGCAGGAATCGGAACTATAGTTTGGCATGAAATGCATGTGGACCCGGTTTTTGTAAATATCTCTTCATCCAATGACCCAGTCGATCTCAAACTGTGCAAGTGGATGTTTTGTCAGACAACCTAATCACATTGTAAATCACAGATTTTATGCATTTGTATTAAAGAATCTGTCTATGTTACTGTCAACAAAATAAACAGCAGAACGCAGAAGGCTTGCAGAGGGAGGGAGCCAATGACCTGTAACCTGTGCTGTGTAAGCCAAGGGGTTACAAGAAACCCATCTCAAGTTGGAGTCTGCATATCGTGAGTTGGTGCTTTCTCCTGGCCTCCTTGGGGATATGCGTCTTCCCGGTTGTATGTATTGACGGGGTAATCTGCGGCCCTTCTACCAACCGTGGGATTATTGCATACCGTGAGGTAGGATAAGTTTAAAAATTGTAAATTTTATGATAAATTGTATATTTATATACTTATCCTATCTCACGCGATGGATACCACCCGACCTGCCCACATCACAGATTACTGGAAGCTCCAAGACGAGAATGACAGGCACATGTAGTCACATGATCATCTGAGAGAGCTGCACGCTTACGGAGATGATTGACAGGTGCTGATGTCGAAGTGAGGGCAGAGGTCAGGGCGGGTCTGAGGCCAGTACGATTTAATTTACAGTTAAGCGAGACTTACCTGTAAGGTGATGATTGACTATAATTCCACCAACCTAAGAAGAACTGAGGGATTACGTGAGAGGTGCGCATGCGTAGAGAGGTCAGATTTTAACAATAAATGTATACCTTTAAAACCACCAATGGGTGGCAATCAACATGATGGGTGGGCACGTAATCCCTCAGTTCTTCTTAGGTTGGTGGAATTATAGTCAATCATCACCTTACAGGTAAGTCTCGCTTAACTGTAAATTCCACCAACCTAATCAGAACCTCAGAATTCCGTGAGATGTTTAGAGTAAAGTGTACATTTATTCATTTTTCAAAACAGCAAATCTTTTTGAAATAACAATGGTTTAATCAATCTTCACATAGCCATATTGTACAGTGTAAAAAATGCAAAACAACTTCAATACAAGAATGTAAAGCTAGGTTATACAAGAAGCTTTAAGAATGCTTTCTCCAAAGTCACCAGGAGTTCCCATAATGGGTTTCTTATAATACTTTCTAAAAGAACAGTCACTTTGCCAGCCGGCTGTGGTGAGTATTGTTCTGAGCGGTACTTCTGCCGCTGCGGCTGCGCTAGTAGAAGCTGAACGGATACTGTGCGGCTT